GAGAGAGACTGTTAGGCCTCTGGCTCCCAGCCTTTTTATACAGGCCAGCTGTGGCCTGATTGGGGCGTGGCCCAGCTGTGGCTACTTCCCCAATCAGCCCAGCTTTTAGAGCTGCAGCCCTCTGCCAGGGCTGTTTTAAGCCCTTCCAGGCAGGAGCGGGGTAACCACCCCGCTATACCCACACACATACACACCCCTACACCCTGTCTCTCTCTCTCCCTACAAGACAAGGTAGGCGAGGTAATATCACAAGCCAAGATTCTCTCACATTCCCATGACTCCAGGAGCTGGAGCTTTAAGAAAAAGCAGCAATGATTGTGAGACTTGTTAAAATTGTGAGAGTTGGTAACACTGCTCTACACTCTCTCTCTCTCTCCCTAGAACAAGGTGGGCAAGGTAATACATTTTATTGGACCAACTTCTGTTGGTGAAAGAGACCAGCTTTCCAGCTCCGCAGCGCTCACCTTCAGATCTCTCCAGAAAAGGTCATTTTTCGTTCTCTTTGTGAATTTTTCCCCGGGGCTTTAGGCAGGGGTGAGATTTTGCACCGATCCTAGATTGGCGTAGCTCCATTATTGAGCTTTGCCATGTACACACCCCGAGGAGCTGGCCTGTTTGTGACTCCTGCTCAAATAGTCAAGAATCCATTTGTTCAACAGGCCCTGATCCTGAACCCTTAAGTCAATGGGAGCTGTTTACCATTGAGGTCAGCTGGAGCAGGACCAGCTGTCTGACCCTAGGAAGCTTGGGTAAGAGAGGCCTGAATGCAATGAAAGGCTCATTTGCTTTTAATCAGTCTCCTTCCTCCTGAGCTGCTGTCAGCTGATGCTCGCTGGCTGGGTGGCTTTCAGCGAGCCGGCAAGCAGCACAGCCTGGCTGGGTTTGGGTCTGGAGATCAGCGATGGACATAGAGAGGCACAAAATTGTCCTTCAGAATCCTGAGTGAAGTCCAAACCTTAACGAGCCCGATCCTCAGCTGGTGTAAAGTGACGGAGCTCTGACCTCAGTGGAGCGACGTGGATTTACACCAGCTGAGGATTTGGCCCTTTAGGTGGTGGCCTTTACTCAGGTGAAACACCCAAGGCCACACTTCAGTGAAGGCTAGGAGTGAGTAACGCCTGCGACCCCGATCCACCAAGGGATTTAGGCTCCTGATGCCCATTGATTTCAGTGGCAGTTAGGAGCCTAAATACCTTGGTGGCTCTGGGCCTAAGAGCCTCAGGAGGGGTCAATCAGGAAGGGCTGCAGGTGAAAACAGGGCTCCCTGCTGTCTCCGTGGGGATCAATTCTCCTCATTGCAAAGGGGAAAAAAGCCTAAGACTGGTGTCCTCCCAGCAGAGGGCGCCACATACACGGCCCTGAGCGCTCCGGCGCACCCACCTATTAATGCGTCTCCCCCAGCGCTGCCCATTGCGCTGTAGGAACAGTCACTGGGGGAGCGGAGTTGACTACGCGGGGATCTGGGAGTGGAGGCAGCATGCTGCAAAGCAAACAAGTATCCTCAGCACGATTTTGCCTGGCTGAAAAGCAAGCCCGGTCGCTGCTCGTCGGCCCAAGGAGGCATGGCTGGGCCTCCCCCGCCACTGAATTCACAGGAGAGCAGCCCTCCTGATTTGCAATAAGAGCGGCGCAGCGAACACGAAGGCTGGGGAAGATTTGAGTGTCTGATTTCAAGTTAGTCGCGCTCCGATATGAAATGTGCTCCTTTGCTTTCCTTATGAAACCTGAGCCAGGAGCACAGACCTCTGGGTCTTAGAAAGGGCCTCGGGGCCTGAAATTCCTGGGGAAGGGATAGAAAAACCACAGCAGTGCTGGGTGCTATTAAGCCATTTGCTACTGGCCACAGAAAACATGCTGCAGGGCTTGCCGTGGAGTGATATTAATGTCACAGGGAGCTGGCAGAGACTGAGGGTTCAGAAATCATCCGCAGCATTATACCATCCAGCAGAAAGCTGGCCAGGCTTCCTGGCTGCCCTTAGGGCCTGCCTTATGCTAGAGGAGATACCAGCGTCCTCCAGAACAGACCATGTGGTGGTGGCAGGATCTCTGTATTCTTTCCACCCTGCTTGGGAAGTAAATTTAAAACACATGTTTCAGAGTAGCAGCCGTGTTAGTCTGTATCCGCAAAAAGAACAGGAGTACTTGTTGCACCTTAGAGACTAACAAATTTATTAGAGCATAAGCTTTCGTGGGCTACAGCCCACTTCTTCGGATGCATTATCCCCATTGTCCTGCAGGGGGCGATGGGGAAACTGGGGGGTGGAAAACAGGGCTCGGCTGCAAATGCTTGCAGGGCTCTGATTTCCCATTCCACAGTTGCTGTCCCTGTGCACGCCCCAGCCATGCAAACACACTAGTCACGTGCGGGCACGCCACACATCCCCCTGCCCTTTCACTGACAATCTTGTGCACACAACAAGCAAACATGCACGATCGCATTCCTGCATCCCCCTGCTAACTGCACGTGTAATCCACTGGCGAGTGTATGTTATGGGGCCCCCTTCGTGCCTGATCCACACACAGGCTATGAGTTGTCACAGTCCCCCTCCCCCGCCAGGCAGGTTTAGTGCAAGCACAGCTGTAGCAGCTCATGCGTTTAGCAGGTGTGCAGGCTGCGGACAGCTGCCTCGTCAGTGCAGGCTGCCTGGGATGTGAACTGCTGTAGGGCTCAGGCTGTCAGCGGAAAGCTGCGTGGATGTGCCTAGCGGCTTATGATCATTCCAATCCTCCCGTCCTTTTCTCTGTGGTTTATTGACTTTGGAGCTCACCTGAATCCCCCTGAATGGTATTGCCTTTGGCCTGCTTGCGCCAATGTCCCCTTAGGCAGTTTGAGAAGGCTGGAGATCCAGTGTCACTAACGCTGTGGAATTCAGGCTCCCCGATGGAAGGTCCTGCCCTCTATAAACCAGGATGTCCCGTCCTGCTCTTTTCATTGGCTCCCTTGAAAACCCACATGCTTATCAGTTATTCTTGAGGGTTAATTTCACCACAGTTGTCAGATTTGCAAGGTTAAAAAGAAATCGCAGGGTGAAGGTCTCTCACCCAGGCAGTCCTACTGGAGTCAGCAGGTGCGTGGCCGTGAGAGCAGAATTTGGCTCTGAAGGACTTGAGCTTTCTTAACATGAGCGAGTCACCGACATCTCATGGGAAAGGTCCTATTCGAAGACTGTGCCTTTGTGTTCTCCCCTTGTCAATGGCTAAGATGATGGATGAGAACAGGGTCTTCAGGCTAGATTTCACCCATCCCTGCTGCTTATTCCTGAACCGAGGTCGTGCTCTCAGCTACGTTAGAGCAACCCCAGCAACCGTCCCCAGTGTAGATGAAAGTTGAATCTGGCCCACCCTCTGTAACAGGATCATTGTCTCCTAATTTTGACACGTAAATGTAGCCTCCTGGCCTGGTGGAGAAAGAGGCAGACAAGCTCCTGACACTGTTCCCACTAGGAACACGTATGTCTCCGAGTGACTCCTGATTTACTCCTGATTTATGGCACTGTGAGCAAGAGGAGAATCAGAGCCCCTGTTTTAATGCGGATATCCCTGGTGGGGATCAATACTGTGGGGAGAAAACCAACAGAAGACCTATGCTGTCTGGGAGAAAATACACCCCCTAGGCAGAGAGACTACACATCACTTTATCTGATTGAAGCCCTTTGGGTGACGTAAGGCGTAGGTTGCTAGCGGTGAATGTGAATTTCACCCTCTAAGAAGAATGGTTTCCACTCTTTGCCTTCATCCAGATTTATCTTCCAATTGCTGTGGCCAGTGCATTTGGAGCGCTGGCCAGAGGCCATTTCTGAGTTCTCTTCCTTCGCTTCTTCTGTCTCCTTTGGAAGAGTCTCTGAGTGGAAGCAGGGCAGCCCACTTGCATTATTCATACGGCCAGGAGCCAAGGAGATACAGTTACAGTCTAGCAGAACAGTCGCAATAACTTGAGTTCTTAACTCCCCGTGCCTGGCAGAAAGGTGCATCGCAGGATGGGATGAGACATTTTGACCGAGGAGTCGTTATGGAATGTTAAGAGCCAGGACCGGGGACTTCCCAGTGGAAGGATGAAGCAGGGTCTCCCAGAGGATGCAGCTGCAAGTATCAGGGGATGTTCTCATCACCGGTGGGACACTGCATTCACATTCTAAAGTGCAGTAGGGGGGACTAAGAAGGAACGACTAAGCCTAGGAGGGGAAGGATGGAGAACTGCTCTGTCTCACTGAAACCCTGCAACGGTAAATAAAACCAAGCCCTGTATACGAGCACTAGCTCCTGGCACTGCATGCCCTTGTTTCGGAGCAATGCAGAAAAGCTTTCCTTCTGCTGCTGGGAAGACGTTACAGTTGGCTCACGAATGTGCATGGGCAGCATGAAGGTTTGGCTTTGAAGGCTTGCTGCTGCCTGGTTTTGTGGGATTGACCGCCCAGGGGGACACTGTTATAACCCACACCTATACTCAGGATCGTGGGTGACGTATGGCACGGCTGCACCTGGAGGCTAGAGTATGAGCCTGAAACACCAGGAGCATGGGTGGCAAAAAAGGTGAGACCAAAAAGACCGCTGAGAAGGGTGGCAATGCCAAGAAGGGCAAGGACGAGGTCAAGGGGAGAAAGAGCAATGCCAAAGGGGGGAAGGGGAAGGAAGTGGCAAAGGGGAAAGGGAAGGATGAGAAGAAGGGGAAGGATGCCAAGAAGGGGAAGAAGGAGGTTCTCAGTGAGTCGGAGGAGGCCTCGGACTCTGAACTAACGAAGAGCAATGCCGAGGAAGACAGTGATGAGGAGAGTGAGATGGTGGAGGAGGAGGAGGAGGACGAAGATGAGGACAGTGAGGAAGACCCTAAGAAAAAGAAAGGGAAGGACAAAAAGGAGGCCTCCAAAGCCATGGCTGGTAAGAAGCAGGGGAAAGGGAAAAAAGTGCTGTCGGAAGAGGAGGAGGAAGAGGAGGAGGAGGAAGATTATTCTGCAAAGAAAAAGAAGAAGGACCTGCACCTCAAAGGTGCCTCCCACCTGGTGATGGGGCTGGCGGGCGATGATGCCAAGAAGAAGAAGGGGGCAAAGAAGGAGCATGCCAAGGCTCAGCTGAAAGGGGCTACCAAGGCTATGGCTGGTCTAGCTAGGAGGGAAGTGGAACCGCCCAAGTCCAAAATGAAGAAGAGCCTGAAGAGTGCATCCAAGCTCTTCATGGGCTTCAAGAGGCTAGGCCTGAAGCGCTCCAAGAAGGGCCAGTTCAAGAACACCTCCCGGTTTTTCTGGGGGCTGAATAAATACAGCACGAAGAAGAAGATGAAGAAGAACAAGGCAGTGCTGAAATCCACCTCCAACCTCATGATGCGCTTCAAGAGTATAGGGAAGAAGAAGAAGAAAGAGGAGGCCAGTGGCAACCCGAAAAAGCCCTCTTTCCTGCTGATACGGCTGGGATTGGGCGGCGAGAAACCTAAGGAGGAGGGTGGGTTCTTCAGCAGCCTCTTCCGCCGGAGGCGAACGAAAGAGAAATTCAAACCCCGGGCTCAGATCCTGAGCAAAGCTGCTGCCGCCACCAGCTGGCTGACAAGAAAGTTCCTGTCCAAACGGGCCAGGCTTACCTACAATGAGAGGTCCATGAATGAGGCCTGGCTCTCTAGGATTGGAGCTAAGAAACTCCCCTTCCCGTCAGAGGACGAGATTCTGAGGCACCGAGCCAACATGAAAAGGTTCTCTGGAGCCAGGAGGCTCTATGGTCAAGGGGAAGAGGAATATGGCTACCAGCCAAATTTTGAACATGGCGGCCTTGTGAGGCAGCCCTCTGGGAGGTTCTCACAGCCCGGGCCAAGCGGGTATGAGGGCCCTGCAGTCCCACTGGACTATTACAACTGTTACCAGGGTGACAGCAGCTTTTACGACCCGCAGGCCCCAGCTCAGTATGGCTACCCTGAGGAGGAACGCTACCTCCAGGCACCAACTGACCGACACGACTTTCATAACAGAAGGGTATCTGATTACGAGGACGACCCTGGATATGATATGGAAGAAGAATATGAGCTTTATGAAGAGCCCATGGACTACTACGATGATCCACTGCCAAACCAGTCTGACGACTACGACTATGAAGACCAGGATTATGAGTCACCTTCCGGCTATTCACCATATGAACCCTATGACCAATATAGGAGCGATATGGATTACTACGAAGAGCAAACAGGGCCATACAGCTCTTTTGAAGACAGATATGGTCCTTCTGGAGGGCCCGACAACCTGAGGGTAGATGAAATGGGCTATCTGGATGATTATTCCCCTCAGCATGAAATCAGTTACAGCGAATACGAATGGGACCCTCCAGCTCAGTCTTCCTATAACCCTTATGCGTATCCCTTGGACGATATAACGGAGATGGATGAGCCAGAGGAGTTGGCGGATGACAATGGAGATTACCCTTTTATGCTCCCTAATTCTTCCTTCTTTGAGCAGCAGGGGATCGAGGAAACGTTGCCTTCTAAACTGTCGTTAAACAGGAAGTTCAGGCTCTTCCCCAGGCCTCAGGTGAAGCTATTTGGCAGAGACAAACTTGATGTTCCCCTCCCTCCTTCTCCGCATATTTCCCTTGCCGGCGTAGATCAAGATGAGGATGACTACGGTGAATACGAGCCGCTGGCGCCTCCCTTTGCCCAGTTCAGTGTTGGGGATCCCCAACCCTCAGTGACATACGGCCGTGTTGGCCAGGATCATGGCAGCCGGCTTCCAAGGCCTCACTCTCCAAAGTCAATGGGAAGCAGGTTCGACCCTGGTGGCCAGCAAGGCAATGTCCAGGGGGCGCATTTGCAAAGCTTCTCTCCGCGAGGATGTGGGAGCCCCCTAGGGCAGTTCTTACAAAGATCCCTCACGCAACCAAAACCCATTTTAAAACACCGTGGGAGCGAGGTGAAGGGCAGGCCTCCCACGCCCTCTCCAGTAAGGAGGGCAACATCTTTGTCATTTGGTGAGAGCGGGCCTCTGAGGCCACCTTCCCCTCAGCCATCAATTAGACACGGCGACATGCCAAGTTCCACCTCTTCCCCGAAACTTAGCAGGCAGTGTAGGAGTCCAGAGAGACAGAGCTTTCATCACTCTTCTCCACAGCCCTCTGTAAGACGTTTTGACATCCCCCAGGAGAAATCACATGACCGGCATCCATTTATTGAGCCGTCCTATAAAAAGTTTGGCCATAAATTAGCAGGGATGGAGACCTTAGAGTCGGCACCTCTCTTGCCTATGAGGAAATTCGATTACACAGTCAGTAACAACAACAACTCCCAAAGGCCTCCCTCCCCTCAGCCTTTAAGGAGAGTAGGAAGCAGAAGCAGTCTGGAGCTCCTCAGGCCACCGTCTCATTCTTCTACGTGGCAGAGACCCCCTTCTCCAAAACCCAGTGTGAAAAGGCTCAACTTTAACCAGCCACAGGCGGATTTTCAAAAGCCAGAGACGAACAACCCCTTTCTGCAGCAGTTCGGTAGCCACATGACTGGGAAGTCTCCACAGTTTCCCTCTTACCAGTCACCAATGAGACCCAGAAGTCCCCCTCCCTCACCGCGATCCTCTCTGAGGATGAAGAGCCCTCCCCCTGCTCCTTCTCCCTCTTTGAGGAGACCAGGGTCTCCAGTGGCCAGAGAAAATGTCTCCTCTCCTCGTCGATCATGGAGACAAAACTCCTCCACCGCTGGGAGCACAGCACCTATAGATTCCACCTTCCAGCCCATGTCATCTCCTAGGCCAACAGCTCAGAACCCATTCATGAGTCAGAGGAGTTGGTCTCCACAGCCTGTGCTAAAGCACGTCAATAGCACAAGGGCTGAGCCACCTTCCAGCCTGCCGTCCCCACAGCCCACCCTCAAATCCGGCTCATCGAGGTTTCAAATGTTTGGCTCAACCCCCCAAGGCACCACCCCAGCCACGCTGCCTGGGAGCTTAGCCCCTCCAGGGCTCCATAATCCTGTCCCTGGGGAGCTGAAAGCACCCTCTTCACCTCACCCATCCCTGAGGCAGTTTGGGTCTCCTCCTGAGGCAAGGTCCCCTAGCTTTTCGGCCAGGGGCGCTGGGAGCATACGGTCATCTTCCCCTCAGCTATCAAGGAGACTGAGGCGCTCGCCCGTGGAAATGCATAGGCGGCTCCCCCAGGCTTGGAACAGGCAGCCCGAGCCTCCAACTAAAGCAGTGAAGCCTTTAATGAGGAACTCGTTTCTGAAGCAGTTGGGCCGTCCAGCGGGAGCTCAGTCTCCCATCCCACCATCCCCGATGCCGTCCGTCAGAGGCGGGCCGCCTCCCCGGGGATTGGCAAGAACACCCTCCCCTCAGATGCTGACACGCCAAGGAAGCCATCGTGTTACCATCAAAGACTCTCCTAACTTTCTACCTGGCTGGTCCCCGTCCCCCATGGATGCTAATGGGCCGGCGGGGGAGCTGCCTGCACGGCCGCGTTGGGACAGGGCTTCTGGGAACGAAATGCCAGCTCAGCGAACTCCATCACCCAAGATGGCAGGAGATGGAAGCATGAGGAACATTTCAAAGCTCCCTCCACCTCCCAGCCCTGCTCCTGGGATCCCGAATGCATTTATCAAACGCATCGGCCAGCCTCTGGCTGGGATGACCCAGACCCCTTCCACGAGGAGGCCTTCTCCTGCAGAAACCAGCAGCATGCTTGCAGGTGAAGCAGGAGGTAGGAATGCATTCCTGAAACGGTTTGGACAGCCAGGGGCAGGTCAGACATTAGGACCCACAGCTCTCCAATTCTCAGTGAGAGAGGGCGGACATGTAGCCCAGGGACAACGCCCACCATCACCGACAGATCCTAGACGCCCCCTTGGTAGGAGCCCTTCTCAGAAGCCGGCCTCCCCCGCTCCATCCCTAAAACATGCTACGATGCCAATGGGAGAAGCAAACAGGTCACGGTCACCTACCCCAAACTGGGCGCATAAGGTTCCGGGTGGGAATTTGTCTTATTCAGCCACCTGCAGCCCCCACGCTGTGCTGAAAGGCAAAGCAAATCTGGGCCCTCAATCGCAAAGAACGGTGGCCTTCAAAGGCCCGCATTCTGTGACGGGAGCTGGCCCCTCCTTTGCCGGGTCCCCATCCCTGCAGGAAGCATGCAGCAGACCAGCAAAACTCCCAGCTGAGCTCTTTGAGAACGAGGACATGTCAGGGGAGGACGGCGTGGGGAGGTACGCCGTTGTCATGCCGCAGGTCCAGAGGCTGGGCACCTTCAGAAGGATGTCCTACATGCACAAGCAGCACTGGTCTAAGCAGCAGATGGTGAACGTCCGTGCGTCACCCAGCCCGTGGTCTTCTGAGAAACTGCTTCATAACGCTCCCACTGAGAGCCTGAACAGGTGGTCGGGCCGGAGAGGAGACAGCACTGCTGGGTACCTGACCCACCGATCCTCAGTGCAGAACCGGGGTGATGGGAACCACTGGGAGCGTGGGAACACGGGCAAAAAACCGCCCTGGCACGATAAGGTAATTCCAGGGATTTGGGCCAGTTTGGTGCATTTAGAGCAGAATCCAGACCTGGGGCCAGTTTACATTGTAGTAAACCCACAGGGGTTAATCTGAATGTAGGACCGGATCCAAAGATCCAGATCCAAACGATGTCAGGGGGCGTTGGATCAGGCCCTTACACTGAAAAGTGAGCAACATTTGGCCCCTGGGGTAAGCAGGTACAGCTTTCTTAAAATCCTCTGGGCTAAATCTGCAGTGAGATGGGGGGTGTAAGTTACACATTGGTCAGAGAAACAAATTGGCCGAGTGCTGTGGAAAACACCAGGGTTTGAAGGGTTAAAACCAGACCTTGTCTATTAGTAGAGTTAATGTGTAGCCCCTGGATGTGCCCCTTCCCCACCCTTCTCCCAGCATGGAATGAGCATCAGGTGCTTACAGCCAGCCAGCCAGAGGAACCCAGGAGTCCTGACTGCCAGCCGCCTGCTCTAACCACTAGATCTGGCTCCCTTCTCTTGCACAAGAGCTGACCTCAGATGTGAAAATAAAACAATGTTTTCTCCTCTATGCCATCCGGTCCTGGCTCTGACGCTCCTCTCGCTTGCTCTGGGGTAAGGATGCCCAGTGGGGTCAGCAAGATGAGACTCGCGCTGTTACATTCAGACCATACCAGTGGGAGCGCGGCTTTACCCACATGGCAGTTCTGAGCAGGAGAGAAGCTAAGGTGGCCAGCCTGTGCTCCCATGCAAACATCCCCTGCTTGGGCTGACTTACTCACTGACAGCCAACCCCCTGGAGACCACAGCTGGCACCACGAAGTTGGCTTTGGCTGGTTAAAAATCCTGGCCTGTTGGAAAGAGGTTCCCCAACAGCAGGCTGCAGGAGCCAGGTGGTGCGGGCACAGCTAGCGAACTGGCACGTACGCTGGAAAGGGGAAACCAGCCTGGTCCAGACTGAGGTTTAATAAAGGCACAGAGCTATCCCTGGGCTCTGTCATTGTAAAACTATAAGCCCCCTCACCGCAGCCAGGGTGACAGCTGGTACTTTTGGAGCCGTTTGACCTCTGTCATAGCAATGGAACAAAAGAGGTATATGTAAATGCAGAGACTTGATCTGTGGCAGGTAGCTGCATTGGAACAGAAGGAGCGTTTTAATTAGAGGGGCCTCTCTTGGCACGCACTGGCTGACAGAGCTCATCTGAGACCTACCCCAGTACGTGACTGGCTTACCGTGGATGGCGACTGGCTTACCTGCTTGCTACCTACCCTGGCCTGAGCCCATGAGGGGCTGGATGCTCTCCAGGTTAGGAGCTACGGTGATGATTGAAAAAGCTCCAGGGTTTATTGTCTGCTCTTCCAAGCTGGTGACTCTTAGTTACCTGGGCTTTTTGTGAAGTAACAGACGCTCGGTGGCTCTTCTGTGCATTCAGCTGACGCTGCGCGAGGCGTTTAAAATCACGTTCGACGAAGCACAGGGAATGAGATGAGAGGGACCAATACTGCACTGGCTGGGGGGGAGGTGAACCAGGGACCCAATGGGGATCTTCCACCTCTGAATGTCACGCGGGGATTGTAGCAGTGCCTCAGCTACCCTTTGCATTGTTCTTGAAAGCTAAATAGGTGCCAGTGTGACAATATAGGGGCCTGTGTATGTTACCCAGCAGTTCAAGGCGTGCGCTATAGTGGAATGCAGAGGGACAATACACTGGGGGAGCTGCTTTAGCACACTGAGGGACAGTGTGGTCTAGGGGGTAGGGCACGGCATGGATTCCCCATCCACATTGCTTAGATTGTGATCCTTTTATGTCAGAGACTGTTTCAGGCCCTGCTCTCGGCTCGGGCCTATAGGTGCTACTGTAATGCAAATAATTAATAGTCATTTTCGTTTTCTCTCTCTGTCTACGTGGGAACACTCAGGAAAATAAATTCACACCTTGTGTTAATTCGGATTAAAGGTGGATTAGTCAAACCACATTGAAACCATGCATGGAGACTCTCATTCAGAATTAAAGTGGCCTTAATTTGGTTTAGCTTAATTCACAAGAGTGTCCACAAAGGGATTGATTGTGGTTAAATGAATTTGCTTTAAAAATTAATTTGGATTAACTTTCCTGAATGTCCCCATGTAGACAAGTCCTCAGTCTAATATTCTGTGTGTGTGTGTGAGCGAGGGGGTGCAGCTGGTAAAAGAAATGAATCTTTGGGAGGGGGTTGGTGGGCTGATTCCACATAGGGCCCAGCATGAAAGCCTGGGTGAAGAGGGGAAAGACAGGGCAGCAGGACTGGTATCATCAGTGGAACAAAGTGGAGGGGCAGGGAATGTGGTTAGAGATGCAGACCAGGGCAGAGTTGTGCAGGGTTTGGAAACCAAGGCTGAGAGGTGTGAGCTGGATATGGTAAGTGAGGGGAAGCCCGGGGAGTGATGCAGAGCGGAGCGGCATGGTCTGATCTCAAGACATCTCTCTGCTGAAGCTCCTGCCCAAAGGGGTCGCTCCATAGCGGCTGTACCCCTGAACAGGGCCAGTTCTGTTCTCCTTTATTGGAAAGCCACCTCCATCAGGCAGTTGATTTTTGTCAGTGCCTCCATAGCTACAACTGGAACCCACTGGTTAGTGTGTTATGCACGTCCCAATTTGCAGAGATCTGGCCCTGTGACAGGCCCTAGCTACCAGGGCTGGCTCTTTAGTTCAAGCTGTAGCAGTTCATGATTTTAGCTCTGGGGGTCCCTGGTTTAATCCCAGTCATGCAGGCCAAGAAGGCGGCCGTCACACACCCACGCCCAAAAAGGGATGAGGAGATAGGAACTGCTCCAGGGCCTGGTGTCCCAACCCCTCCACACTCCCTGGCCTTATCGGTGGCTGTACCAGGTGATGCCACCTGGTGGCCTGCTGCAATGAAGGGACTTGGCAGCAAAGGGTTGGGGTCAGACCTCCCCCTTTGCAAAGTCCCTTCTGTAACCTCCGGCTCCACCTGCACAAGCCTCCTTGCTCCCTAGGGTTTCCTCTTGCTGATGGGAGAGGGTTGAGCCAGTCCAGTCACTATAGAGCAGTGGGGATCTTGTCCCCAGCCCAGGCAGACGGACAGGCCAGTTGCACCAGTTTGGGAGCAATAGCTTGGCCTGGGGTCCGACCCCGACTCTCTGTCTCGTGAGGCCCCCGAGCTGGCCGGAGAAGTTCTCTGAGTAACGCTGCCCGATCTGCATGTCTTCCTCCCTGAGTGTAGATGCACTCCATCCACAACCTGCCGTCCAGGAGCGCCCGAGAAGAGCCGAAGGAAGATGGCGTGGAGGACATGACCCAGCTGCAGTAAGTGACTGACCGGCATGCTCTGGTTGCTCTAAAAGGAATGCTAATCACCATGGGCTGGCTGGTGTCACTCTGCAGAGCACCATTGTGGGCTAGGGACCAGGGCACCGGCCTGGGAATCAGGAATCTGGGGTACAGGCCCAGCTCTGCCACTGACCTGCTGTGTGACCTTGGGTGAGTCCCATCATCTCGGTGTCACCTCCGACCCTCCGTCTTAGCTGTTGTCTCACCTTGGTTATGTAGAGTGACTAGCACAATGTGCTCCCCAGGCCCTAGCATGGACCGTGCCCACTACTGGGAACAGCTCCTGCAGATGCCCTCCCCCGACCCACTTTAAGATCTCACCAGCCTCGGCAGTGGATTCCCTTAGTCTGACTCCACCCTCACGTTTCGGAGCGTTGACTGCCTGTGCCTGGGAGGGGTGCCTTTTCTTTGCACGTTGGTGGCACTGAGCTGGCTGGGTTTTCATTTGTGGAGACGGCAGGAGTGGATTTGTTGGCCATCAGCCTCATCCTCTTTCTGAAGGTGCTGTGCACTAGGGCCATGGCTTGATCCCTTTTTGTGCTGTGTGTTCCAGGGACCTCCAGGAGGGGGCAGTGCTGCAGAACATCAAGACGAGGTTTGACCGTGAGTTAATCTATGTAAGTTCCTGGCAGCTGAAGTCGCACTCAGAGTTTATTACAGGCCCCGGGGTCTCCTCGGCATTACCAGTGGAGGGTCCTGTCTGACACTTATGTGCAGAGTGTGTGTCTGGTGGGTGGGTCGGTCACTCACGGCACAGCGTGTCAGGATGCCTGGGTTCTAGTCTGCTTCACCCCCATCTCGCTGTGTGATTTTTTTGAGCAAGTGACTTAACCAATGTGTGCCACTGTTTCCCAGAGATGGACCTTCCCCCACTTTTGTAAAGTGCTTTGAGATCCTTTGGTAAATGGCATTAGGCATTACTGTCACTCCGCTTAGATGCCTGCCGCTCGTCTTCTGCCGAGCGGTGGCTGAGCGTAAAAACATAAGCAGCATTTCCTCTGTGTGTCTCTTGCTGTTGCAGACCTACATAGGCAGCATCTTAGTGTCCGTGAACCCCTACAAAATGTACAACATCTACGGGACGGAGCAGGTGCTGCAGTATGAAGGAAGGGCGCTGGGAGAGAATCCCCCGTAAGTACGTCCCCCACACGGAGCGCAGTGTGCTGTCTATCTCCTCCTGGCATGTTACAGTCCCCTTCCGGCTGGTGGCCCAACTGCACAGCCCGGCTACTCAGGCTCCTTGAGCTCAGATTGTCCTGGCCGGGGACCCGAGCCTGCAGAGCTTTACTCCAGGGAGTAATCCTCTCTCACCCCAGTAGCCCCACTGCAATCCACGACCTCTTGGGGCAGTCAGGGTTTGCAGGATCGGGCCCCAGTGTTGGGCAGGATCCTGGGCAGTGCTGAGCAGCTATGGGGAGGTGCTGCAGAGGGCGCTCAGGCCCAAACGGTCTGTCTGATGATGAAGCAGCTGTCTTCTCTCTCTCGAGTGGAGATCCCAGCGCAGGTAACAGATCTTTCCTGCCCGTGGGTAGCAAGCCTGGGGTTCGATCCTGCTGGGTGTCTTCAGACTTCCTTTGTGCCAGTGGGTGACCTAAGGCCAGGGAGCTGGCTCAGCTCAGAGCATCAGAAGCCTGGTCCTGCTGCCAGCCAGGGTGTTGGGCTGGTGGGAACCCCTCCTCTGCAGGGACTGTTTTACCCCTAACGCTCTGTGCGTCTGGCTCTGTTGCAGGCACCTTTTTGCTATTGCAAACGTCGCCTATACCAAAATGATGGATGCCAAACACAACCAGTGTATTATCATCAGGTGAGAGCTTGCGGCCTCGCTGGGGAAAGGGAGCTCCCCTTTCGTTCCAAGAGGTGGCCCCTCTAGCTCCGGGTTGAGCCCGCTCGTGGCAGCTTGCCCAGCCACCGCCCATGCCACACCTGGCCTGCAGGTAGATCTGAGAGGTCCTTCTTCAGGGCTGCGAAGCTGGCATCTTTATCATCATCGTCATGGCAAATCCCAAAGGGATGTCGATGGAGCGCTACCTGGATCGATCTCTGCTGGCATCTTTAACCAGCCTGACAGTATTAAAATCAATATCATGGTAAAACCGCCAGGCCAGGTCCAGCCCCTGCTGAAGCCAGTCGGAATTTGGTTGATTTCAATGGGAGCAGGGCCGAGCACCACACCCATAGCTCGTGTAGCTGCCGCTCGGTTCGGTAACCTCTCGGCTGGCTTCAGGTGATTGACTGCACGCTCAGCGACCTTCCTTATGTTCGCGTCGTCTCTTTCTAGTGGCGAAAGTGGTTCAGGCAAAACGGAAGCCACCAAGCTGGTCCTGCGTTACCTGGCCGCGGTCAATCAGAAGCGCAACGTGATGCAGCAGGTACAGTGTCCTTTCCAGATGCCACGAGCTATGATGCCCTGAGAACTGCTGTGCTGCCATGAGCCACCAATGTGTCCGGAGAGCTGGCAGCATGGCGGGAGGTACCGGAGGTGAGTGGCCACCTGGCAGGTACATTGGACCAGGATGTACTGGCCTGCTCCGCAGCACGGCAGGTGCGTCCCCCTCAGATGTCCCAACCTGGCCGGCAGCTTGGCAGATGTGTCCTCATGGACAGAATCAGCACATTTTGCAACCCAGCAGGTGCAAGCATTCCCTCCAGAGGTACCTGGGACATTCAGCATGAGGCAGTTAAAACTGAAGCCTGTTTGGAGCCTTTTCCCCGATGGCTTCCAGGGACTTATTCCCTGGAGCCATTCGCAGGCAGTCATTTTTCCTTGGGACCCACTTGCGGTCTCTCGGCTCCCTTCAAATCCCTCCCTCCCTTGCTCTCTGTGGCTAAACTCAGGGGTCTCCAAGCTGTGCCCCTCCTGCTGGAGCAGGGGCCTTCCTCCCCAAATTGCAGCACGCTGCACAGAAGTTCGTTCTGCCTGGCAAAGAGAGCATCAGACGGACCCCGTGTGAAAGCCAGAGAAGGGTCTGCATTCTAGGAAGCCTCATAAAGCCCTCTGCAGCAGCAGGATGGGCAGATGTTGGTCCCATTCTAGGGAGGTAGGTCCCATTGCTAGGTCCCATTCCCCAGATAATTCCTGGGTAAACGTACAGTTCTTGGCAATAGAGTGTGGCTTATTATCCTCTTCTCACTGCCGGTGTGTTGGTGACCCTGACCTGTTGTTGTTCCTATGCGTCCCTGCTGCACTACCATAGATAGAGGTATGGGGTGTGTGTGTGGGATGCAAAATTTCCACTTACCTATCAGAGTGATGCCAAAGTGGCCTGCTGTGTTATCTCTGCTGAGGCTAAATCCTGCAGCTCAGAACTCCCCTAGGAGTCATTGGGGGTTTTTTTTGCCTGCAGCCTTGAGCCCTGTGTGTGTGTGCGTGGCTTTGCAGTGATTATCTTTCCTTTCACTCCCCTACTCTCCTTCTCCCCTCCTGCCCTCCTTCAGCCATCATCCAGTGGGGAGTTACAGGTCCCCTGGCACTCAGCAGACAGGCTAGAAAACCCTTCTCGCATTAAAACCGACCCTCGCCCCCAGCCTTGTGCGGGAGCTGTTGCAGAGCAGACAATGACTGCTGCATTTGCGGACAGGTCACTGTATTCCACTCCTTAAATAGAAAAGGAACTAAAGGAAGCCAAACCCTGGTCTCTCTTCGTTGCTCAGCCAAATGTTTAACTTGGAAGCACCATTTTCCTGAGACTGCGTCGGGGGGAGAACGGAGGTTTTGCTGTGTTCGCCAGTTTTCAGGCCCTGAACGCCTGGGATGGCTCGTGTCAGTCACAATTACTGATGGTGAAAAACATTTCCGAGCAGAGCTGGGTCCACCAATGGGCCAGAGGTGCCAATGCCCAAGGCAACATCTTTCTTTAGAAAATGTAATTATTAATTTAAAATTATTACCCTGGCATCTAAGAGCCCCAGTCAAGGACCAGGACCCCATTGTGCCTGGTGCTGTACAAACAACAAAAAGCTTTGTTGGGGAAAAGTCAACATGGTTTTTGTAAAGGGAAATCAGGCCTCACCAATCTACTAGAAATTCTTTGAGGGGGCAAACAAGCATGTGGGCAAGGGGGATCCAGTGGATATAGTGTACTTAGATTTTCAGAAAGCAGTCAAAAAAGCAAACAGGATGTTAGGAATTCTTAAAAAAGGGATAGAGAATAAGATGGAGAATATCTTATTGCCCTTATATAAATCCATGGTACGCCCACATCTTGAATACTGCATACAGATGTGGTCTCCTCATCTCAAAAAAGATATACTGGCATTAGAAAAAGTTCAGAAAAGGGCAACTAAAATGATTAGGGGTTTGGAACGGGTCCCATATGAGGAAAGATTAAAGAGGCTAGGACTTTTCAGCTTGGAAAAGAGGAGACTAAGGGGGAATATGATAGAGGTATATAAAATCATGAGTGGTGTAGAGAAAGTGAATAAGGAAAAGTTATTTTCTAAGAACTAGGGACCACCAAATGAAATTAATGGCAGCAGGTTTAAAACAAATAAAAGGAAATTGTTCTTCACACAGCGCACAGTCAACCTGTGGAACTCCTTGCCTGAGGAGGTTGTGAAGGCTAGGACTATAACAGGGTTTAACAGAGAACTAGATAAATTCATGGAGGTTAAGTCCATTAATGGCTATTAGCCAGGATGGGTAAGGAATGGTGTCCCTAGCCTCTGTTTGTCAGAGGGTGGAGATGGATGGCAGGAGAGAGATCACTTGATCATTACCTATTAGGTTCACTCCCTCTGGGGCACCTGGCATTGGCCACTGTCGGTAGACAGGATACTGCGCTGGATGGACCTTTGGTCTGACCCAGTAGGGCCGTTCTTACGTTCTTTGACAAGGTCCCTCACCAAAGGCTCTTAAGCAAAGTAAGGTGTCATGGGATGAGAGGGAAGGTCCTCTCATAGATTGGTAACTGGTTAAAAGATAGGAAACAAAAAGTAGGAATAAACGGTCAGTTTTCAGAGTGGAGAGAGGTAAATAATGGTGTCCCCCAGGGGTCTGTACTGGGCCCAGTCCTATTCAACATATTCATAAATTATCTGGAAAAAGGGGTAAACTGTGAGGTGGCAAAATTTGCAGATGATACAAAACTACTCAAGATAGTTAAGTCCCAGGCAGACTGCGAAGAGCTACAAAAGGATCTCACAAAATTGGGTGACTGGGCAACAAAATGGCAGATGAAATTCAATGTTGATAAATGCAAAGTAATGCACATTGGAAAACATAATCCCAACTATACATATAATATGATGGGGTCTAAATTAGCTGTCACCACTCAAGAAAGAGATCTTGGAGTGATTGTGGATAGTTATCTGAAAACATCCACTCAATGTGCAGCGGCGGTCAAAAAAGTGAACAGAATGTTGGGAATCATTAAGAAAGGGATAGATAATAAAACAGAAAATATCATATTGCCTCTATATAAATCCATGGTACGCCCACATCTTGAATACTGCATGCAGATGTGGTCGCCCCATCTCAAAAAAGATATATTGGACTTGGAAAAGGTTCAGGGAAGGGCAACAAAAATTATTAGGGGTATGGAACGGCTTCCGTATGAGGAGAGATTAGTAAGGCTGGGACTTTTCAGCTTGGAAAAGAGACGCCTAAGTGGGGATATGATAGAGGTCTAGAAAATCATGACTGGTGTGGAGAAAGGGGGAAAGGAAGTGTTATTAACCCCTTCACATAACACAAGAACTGGACGATCACACAATGAAATTAATAGGCATCCAGTTCAAAAATCAATCACACGATGCACATTTGTCAACTGTGGTACTCGTTGCCAGGGGATGCTGTGAAGGCCAAAAGTATAAATGGGTTCAAAAAAGAATTAGATAAACTCATGGAGGATGGTTCCATCAATGGCTATAGCCAAGATGGTCAGAGACACAACCCCATGCTCTGGGTGTCCCTAAACTTCTGACTGCCAGAAGCTGGGACTGGGCGACAGGATCACTCAACAATTGCCCAGTTCTGTTCATTCCCTCTGAAGCACCCGGCACTGGCCACTGTTGGAAGACAGGATACTGGGCTAGATGGAGCATTGGTCTGACCCAGTGTGGCCCTTCTCATGTTCTTATGCAAAGGATGGGGAAGGCTTTTACTTCCTGTCCCCAAGAGGAGCTGGCTGGCGGTGGAGGCACCATTTTTATCCTTGGCCCAGGGCAGCCATGAGGGTTAATCCGATGTGTCTAGCCAGCCTTTCGTTTCTGCATTGTGCCCATCACTGCAGCATCTTGGCATCCCTGGTTGGACTGTCTCACCCTGACCAGCGCTTGGTGGTTTTTTTTGTCTGGCTGGGGCAGATCCTCGAAGCGACCCCCCTGCTGGAATCCTTCGGAAATGCCAAAACAGTGAGGAACGACAACTCCAGCAGGTTTGGGAAATTTGTGGAAATCTTTCTGGAGGAGTAAGTAATGATGAGCGTATGAGTGTCCCTCTAACACCCGACTCTGTGTGTCTGAAACTGACCCCCAGCCCGAGGGAATTCCGCCCCACGGTCCTGCCTCTGGGCTGCTGACTTGAGGGACCATTAGAATCCCTGGGAGATGTTAGATCCGTGTGCTCCATGGCTGTGATTTAATGGTTCCATTCAAAGCACGGGAACCATTCAGCTCCCCGGGCTGGGCGGTCGGCCAACCCAGCCGCAGGCAACTCTTTGTGGAAAGGTGTCTCCCCAGACAGATTGTATCCTTGTCCCTCTTGCGTGTGGGGAGGGGTTGTTTGATTTTAAGGGCCTGCTTTTAAAAAAACCATGTGTGTGCCACTGCACACCTAATTTGCACTGCCAGTTGTGTGACTGTGAGCACTGCCTAATAGATGTGTAACCGGCCGCATGCACACCCAATTGCTAGAGCTGCATACGCAGTCGCGGTAACCACGTGCACAACTCAGGCCTTCGCTTCAAATATCAGGCCCTAAAAATATTCCTCCTTTTGAGCTCCCCCAGTCCCAACTGACATGGCCTTGTAGCGGGGCTGCCATTCCTTCAGTCTCTGGATACATCTCAGTCTCTCATTCAGATACATGAATGGGGGAGGGGGGTGAAGGGCTTCCATTGGGGCTGGGATATAGGACATGGGAGCACCAGCTCCCCAGCAGAAGGCAGTGGCTTCCTCAGCACAGCTCAGCGAAGGGAGAGCCACCAGTATGGCACACACAGAGAAGCTAGACAAAAATGTAACTGCTCTTGCTGGAAGGTTGCAATGCAACATGACTTTATTTCTTAGAATTCAGAATTCTAACACACAGTAACCAAAACCAGAGAGTGACAAAGCAGGCTGCTCCCTAAAACAAAGACGCACAAGTCACCCCACCTTGCTCTTAGGCTGCCTGCCTGCAGATTGCCTCCTGCTCCCAGCCACTTCACAACAGAGCCCTCCAGCATGCAAGCAGGACCAGGAACCGCTTTCCCCCTTTCACCCCCCCTTCCCACTCTTAAAGTGATGGCTTGCAATTCCAACACAGTCCTCAATACACCACACTCAGCAGCTCAAATCCTCCACCCTTCTCTTTGGTCCTCTCGCTTAGCCTGGGAATTGGGCAGCTATGGTGGTTTTCTGTCTGCCCATCCATCCACATGGACTTCAGTCACGTTGCTTAATGCACAGCTGGAAGGCACTCAGAGACTGTGGTGATGAGGGCAGTGTAAGAACCTTTGCAGAATAGACTAGAATCCATCTCTCGCCACTGGGAACAAGGAGGAGGTTCTCTTCCGCATTGGCTTTTAGTGCAGGAGGTTTAATTGCCGCCTGTCTGACACTGTCTGCCAGGCTGCAACAGCCAATCCATTGTCATTGATGGCTGCACATGGTTGGCCCTTTGTTTGCCAGAGGCAGCAGCAGGCAGATGCCATACTGGTGGCTCTCCCTTCGCTCAGCTGTGCTGGGGGTTGCAGCAGGGGCACCTGGCTAGCAGGACACCCCCAGTGCTGAGCTCTGAGGCAGTTTCAGCTCGGATTCAAGGGAAAACAATGGGCAATGACTAGTCCTTGGACCCAGAGGTACTTCAGGGGAGAGATGGGATGAGACGCTGGGCTGGCAGTGCCAGCTATGGAGTTGAACAGTACTGGAGTAGGATGTTTCCCACTGAGCAGACAGGCTGGGACCTTGGGCGACATTCACGTTCCTCTGGAGTGATGAGCAGGAGCCATTGGTTGGCATCGGTTGGGCACCTCCCACACAGCCAGTGTCCTGCAGGTGCAGAGGGCTGGGTGTGGATAGAACCTCGGTCCTTCCTTCACTCTCTTGTGTCTGACGAGATGCCTTGCTAAGATTCCCAGCCCCCAGGCGCTAACCTTTGTCTCTCCCAGAGGCTTGATCTGTGGTGCCATAACCTCACAGTACCTTCTTGAGAAATCAAGGATCGTGTTTCAGGTGAGTCCCAGCATTTATTGTGCCACCCCCCACTGCCATCACCATGTCACGATGCTTCCTTAGTCTTGTCCTTCTTGTTTCATAGGCCAAAAACGAAAGGAACTATCACATATTCTATGAGATGCTGGCTGGCCTTCCTGCTCAGCAGAAGCAGCAATTCTGCCTTCAAGATGCAGAAACTTACTATTACCTGAACCAGGTATGGAGCCCACGTCCGCACGTGAGCTCAGCAATCAGGCCCACTTGATTTATTATTTCTACGGTGCAGCACCCGAAAGCCCCAATCAGGATCTGGGACCCATTGTCCAAGGCCCTGTACAAACACACAGGCAGACGCAGTCCCGCCTCAAACAGCTGACAACCTGCAGTTCCATTTCTTTCTGGAGCTGTGATAGCACCCAGGTCCTTGTGACATTCAGGTTGCTTCGCTCCCCAGATCGGTAAATCCCCAGTCCCAGTAAATTTGCATCCCCTGTCATGGCTAATTCCTGGGCCTCAGGTTGCATGTTCCCCAGATGTGCTTTGATTGGGACCTTCGCAGGGGGGTAACTGCGAGATTCCTGGCAAGAGTGATGCGGAGGATTTCCGGAGGTTGCTCAGCGCCATGGAGATCCTGAACTTCAGCACCGAGGACCAGAACAGCATCTTCCGAATTCTGTCTTCCATCCTCCACTTGGGGAACGTCTACTTTGAAAAATATGAGGTAATCGTCTCCCGGGGGGAGACGGGAAGGGGACCCAGGGCGCAAAGAAATACTGATAGCAAGGACTTTAGATGCATGCTGCAAACTAGGGCTTTGATCCAATGTCTGTTGGAGCCAATGCAAAGACTCCAGTTTGGCTTCCATGGAATGTGGATCAGACCCTAAGCCCCTCTGCAGGGAGGAAGCTCTCAAAAGAAAATTGAACCCAAGATTTTAGCTTCTCTCCATTTTGTGGAATCTGCAACCAAAAAAAAAATCCCTGGCCCACAGAGGATCCTGGCACCACGGGACATCTGAACTACAACGCCCAGGAAGCCCCACAGCAGCTTTGGCAGACGCAGTTCCACATCCAACCGGCAGACACAAAAATGTTTTGATGTTTCCAAATCAACACTTTTCTGAACTTGCCGTTCTGCAAAACAAATTGAGATTTCAACATTTTGGGTCCATCTGGGACAAAAACCAGCATCAGAATATCAGCCTTTCCCGCGGCAGGGACGTTCTGATTCTTCCTCTAGCGCTAAACAATAATGTTGACAATGGGCCAGATCCTCCGCTAGTGTAAATCAGCGTAGCCCAAGTGAAGTCAGTGCTTCTATGAGCACCAGGTCAATGGAGCTACACTGATCTACTCCAGCTCAGGATCAGGGCCTATATTCATAAACAGAGATGGACAAGGCCTTCAGTATGAGGTCCCCTAGGTTGTCCCTGGGTACCAACTGTGCTGGCCCCTGGGAAGTTGCCTGCCAACGGGCTGTTTTTGCGTTTCACAGACAGACTGCCAGGAGGTCGCATCGGTGGTGAGTGCAAGAGAGATCCGTGCGGTAGCCGAGCTGCTCCAGATCTCTCCAGAGGGGCTGCAGAAGGCCATCACGTTCAAAGTGACGGTAAGGCCCACGGATTCGAGACGGCTGGTTGGACAGATGTGTGATGTGGCTAGAGGGACATCTGGGGAAGGTAGACAGCAGTGAAGAGAGTCTCTGCTCTGAGACCCTGCTTGCTTCATCGCCCTGCAGGGGACTGGTGTATTTTCAGTATCTGATCTGCCAGCAGGACACCCTTGCTTTGCTTTTCATGTTTGTGGAACATCCCTGTGGAGTCCTCTGCCCCCCTCATCTCTCTCTCCATTTATACAACATCTAAGTGTGTCTTGGCATCTCCCGCCAATGGACAGTCACCAGACCTTTGTTCCATCCATTTCTGAAGGACTCAAGAGATGCTCCCTGTGGACGACTGTCCCACCCTCTAATACGCCTCACTGACAGTGAAGCTTTCTCTGAATTTTCCTTCACCCGGTTTCATCTCATCCCTCTTCTCCCGCTCTCCATCTGCCTGGTTCAGAATGGAGCAGTGCATGCTGGGGCTTGTAGTCTCCCGTGGGCCGCATGTCTGCATTAAGAGGTGATGGCAGCCCCACACCGGCTTTAGGGAGGATTTCACCTGTTTGTTTGTTTGGTTTTGCCCTTCTCAACAGGAAACGCTGAGGGAGAAGATTTTCACCCCCCTCACTGTGGAAAGTGCCGTTGATGCCAGGTAAAGGGATTCTTTGTTAGGAGATGCTGAGATCTGTCTCTGGCTTGTCAGCACGCCGCACATGGGGACTGAGGGATTCAGAATGAGGAAAGGCTGGCAGGCAGTGGCAGCTTATCAAAACATGTACTAAACACAGCCAGATGCTATGGACAGGGTGGCAGGCAAGCCCAGCTGTCCTGCTTTAGGTGGGATTCAGCAGACCAATCTACTTTGTACCTGCCCTATCTACTTATACGCCCCCCCCAGAATCTGAACGCCTCGCAATCTTTACCTGTCAGGTAGGGCATGGCTATAGTTCCCATTTAATAGATGGGGCATGGAGCCACAGAGAGACTAAGTGACTTGCTCGAGGTTGTACAGGGCACCTGTGGCAGAGCAGGGAATCGAATCCAGGTGTCCCAAGTCCAAGCTAGCGCCCTTACCACGAGGTTTTCCTTCCTCTCTATCCGTTGTGTTATCCTTCCTTTCCCTTCCCTGTTGTAAGACATGTCAAATGTCCTACTTCTTCCCATGCTATCCCACCCTGTGGCTAACCAGTGCAAAGGCAGGAAACCTTCCCCCTTGTGACTGACACAAACCCGGAGAACGCTGAGAGCATTTTTTCAATGTGTGTCTCAAAATTGAGGGCATTTTGAGGCTCTTTGTTCTGCCTGGGACCCACACTTGTGTGAGAAATGCCCCAGAGCACAACCTGGTTTTACTTGTGCTATATTTTTTCAGCCTTGCAAAATTGCCCTGGAGATTTATCAGCCCAGGCACACAATTGACGTGCCCTCTTTTTTCTAGGACGATGCAAAAAATGAATCATGTGTTACCCACCCATCAGGTAGGGCCCGATCCTCAGCTGGTGTGTATCAGTGTCACTCTCTCGGCTTCAGTGAAGCTGTGGCCATTCACACCCACTGAGGATCTGGCCTGAAGAATTTTACAACGCCGCCAGGTGGAAATAGACATCCTGTGGTTTTGGGTCTGGCCATCTGGTTACTTTCCACTATGCACCAACTATTTTGATCATTTTATTGATGCATGTAGCTCAAAATGCTACTGAGGGGCTGGCAGATTTCAGCTGGGTCATGCCCAGGGCAGACTGGGACAGAGGGACTGGGGTGGTGGTGGGAGAGAGCGCTACCAGTCTCCCAAAGCAACTGGGTCTCAATCTGGCAGCCCCTTCCACATGTTCCGCTGTATCCCAACAGCTGTGCTTGTCTCCTCCTTTTCCCAGAGATGCCATTGCCAAGATCCTGTACTCCCTGCTCTTCAGCTGGCTCACGGACAGGATTAACAAGCTGGTCTACCCTAAAAAGGAGGCTCTTTCCATAGCCATTCTGGATATCTATGGGTTCGAGGTGAGCAAGCAGAGGGCTGCATGTGAGATGTTGGCCCATCCCTGATGTTCCTATAGCACAAGGGTAGGCAACCTATGGCACTGGTGCCAAAGGCGGCACGTGAGCTGGTTTTCAGTGGCACTCACACTGCCCGGGTCCTGGCCACCGGTCCGGGGGGCTCTGCATTTTAATTTAATTTTAAATGAAGCTTCTTAAACGTTTTAAAAACCTTATTTACTTTACATACAACAATCGTTTGGTTCTATATTATAGACTTATAGAAAGAGACCTTCTAAAAACGTTAAAATGTATTACCGGCACGCAAAACCTTAAATGACTCAATGAAGACTCGGCACACCACTTCTGAAAGGTTGCCAACCCCTGCTATAGCATATCAGGAGAATCGTAACGTGGGACTAAGGGTAGCCTTGGTGTGCGTATGGGCATCTCCCGCTGAAGCCAACGCGGGTCAGGCCAGGCCTGAATCCAGCTCCTCATGAGCTCAGCAGATGACACCGAAGGCCCTGGTGGTACAAATGTGTGTTACCAACTTGTACTGGCACCAGTGTGATCTACTGGGAGCCACAGCGTGACTTACTGGGACCGTGGGTCAGAAACAAAAGACATTGTGAATGGAAATGATCAAACCATAAATTAAACTCTCCTGCCCCCAACTGCCCGCTGGGATTCACAGGAATCCCATCCATGACCTGAGATGCGCTAGGGTGACCAGATGTCCCGATTTTATAAGGACAGTCCTGATTTTTGGGTCTTTTTCTTATATAGGCTCCTATTACCCCCCACCCCCGTCCCGATTTTTCACACTTGCTGTCTGGTCATCCTAAGATGCACCCTCCTGCTCTCTGATGCTGCCGCAACCCCGCAGCCCCCATGGGCTAGCGGCCCCAGGGCGTTTCACTCACCAATTTTCTAATGACACCTGTGGACAGAGTTATCAATGGCCAGGGCTCCCCCTTCCCCCTCCATGGAGCCTGGCCAGCGTTTCCCTGCATGCTTGGCGCTTTGCAGCCGTGCACTCAAAACAGTCCCAACTCAGGGCCAGATCCACAGCTGGGGTAAATCATTGCTGCTCTGTTGGGTCACAGCCGAGGTGTCTTACTGTAAAACGGTGGATCTGTTTAACATGCGTCTGGTTCCATCCTCGTGGGTTTTAATCCAGTACGGGCCTGGGTGACACATGCCTCGTTGTCCTGTAAACATGCCAGCAGCAGAGAAACCGGGAATGGTTTGGAGGCTCGGATGGTTTTGCCGCCTGGGGCACGATGCTCACTAAGGTCTAGGCCCAAAGCTGCCACTTCCAGTTTCTTCCCATCCTCAGCAGAGCAAATCCCCCCTGAACGGTTTGTCAGGCCCCAGGCACTGATGTCTCCAGAATCGGGGGTGTTTGTGTGTGTTCAAGTCTTGGCCTCGCCACCCCCAGCTCCGCTGATCCTCACCCACCACCCCAGCCTGCCCTGATCGCTAGCTCTGTCTGCTGTCATGCTCCTGAGCCCCTGTTCCCCCCGCCAACTCCCCGCGCCCCCCCTGCGAACTTCCTATGCATAAGAACACCGGAGGTGCCAGGCAGGATCAGACCATCTAGGTCAGTATCCTCTACCTACGCAATCCAATTCTTTCCTATGCCAGCCCTGGGCCATCTCACAGCTCTGCCAATGTGGCTTAGTCTCGCTGTATATCATTACCTGCCGTTCCAGTCCAGCTGTACCAGTGCATCTCAGTCCTGATCCCCTTCTCTCCCCCTCATGGGGCCTCCTCCGCTGCTCGCCCCTCAAACCCTGACCTGCAGTACCCCTTGCTATTCCAGTCCTGGGCCTCTCCTCGAGAGATGCAGCTGGTTGTGTCCAATGTTGCCATTTTACATGGTCCTTCTCTGGTGAACACCGATGAGAACAAGGCTGTGGCCCAGGCAAATGCATTTGCAGTTTGGAGCAAAGCCAGGGTTAAACTTCTAGGTCCAGGGGTGAAAGTCTGCTGTGCTCACTCACTATCCCTTAGCCCTGCTGCGCCCGCTTCCAGGCATGCTTTACATGGGCGTGTATTTTCCACAGGACCTCAGCTTTAACAGCTTCGAGCAGCTATGTATCAATTATGCAAACGAATATCTGCAATTCTTCTTCAACAAGATCGTCTTTAAGGAGGAGCAGGTGAGCTGGGGAAGCTGGTTGGAATCGGGGTAGCGCCTGGCCTCTTGCTTCAGTGCACGCTACCTGCCAAACCTGCAAGTGAGAGAACAGTCCGGTCCCCCTTTATAAAAACCAACCCCTCGGGGAAAGCTACACTGGGTGCAACCATTCCTAGTCCCCAGAGCTTACTTCAAAGCCAGCAGGGCAGTCTCCAGGATTATTTGACACGCCTCATTCTTTGAAGGCCTTTGGTTGATCCCTATGCCCTCTGGATAATGGAGGTTCTTCTGGAAAAGGTTTGCCTAGTAAGAACTATGTCAAGGCCAAATAATCATAATAAAGACCTATGAGCCGGCAGATTAAGCCCAAATCACTGAGGCCTTTTGCTTCCCCATGACCTTGCATACGCTTCCTGCAGGAGGAGTACGTCCGGGAACAGATAGAGTGGAAAGAAATCACCTTCAGCGACAACCAGCCCTGCATCGATCTCATTGCTCAAAAGCCACATGGGATTCTGAGGATCCTGGATGATCAGAGCGCCTTCCCTCAGGTAGGGGCGCTGCAGAGGGCTCAGCATTGCCAGCGGCTGATTGGCAAAATGCTGTTCATTTTTAAAAGTGATTCTGGCAAGCTAACCAGAGAGGCGAGTGCCGTTAGCTCCTGCAGATGCAGCAGTGATGGGGCTGATCCGCCAGTCCCTGGGTTCATTCTGATGCCTTGATCTCTGTAAAGGCAGACAGCCTTATTTATCTACTCTGATCCTTGTGTACCATCTCAGGCAGCCATACCTGTGCTAGCTCTGACAGAGCTGGCGTGCTAAAAATAGCAGTGTAGCTGCGACCGCATGAGGGGTGGGACAAGTTAACCTTCCTGAGTACAATCCTGTCTGAAACCCTAGGAATGTACTCGGAGCAGCTAGTCTCTCCCATCGCCCATTCAGCTGTGGCTACACTGTTAAGGGCATGTCTACCCAAGAAATGACACGCTAACTCCAGTGTAGACACACCCTTCAAGCAGGAGGGTCTGCAATTCAGCTGCTGTGTTGCTGTGGAGTTGTGAGTGGTCATGGGGACCCCTGTGCAGCATGGAGAGGTTCAGGAAGTTCCTGGCGGCCACAGATTGTCTAGAGTGGCTTCCAGCCAGGGATCTCAAAGAACTTTTGCAGATGTTAATAAATGATGCCTCCTAAGCCCCCTAGGAAGGAGGGGACACTGAGACATGTAGCAGTGAGGTGACTTGCTTGAGGTCACACAGTGATTCAGTGGCAGACCTGGGAACAGATCCCCAAAACCCGACTGTCTGACTCAGAGTTCTGTGCTCTAGCCATTAGACAGTGCTCCTTCCAGCTTGTTGCCCCAAATCCAGGTGAGTTTTACCTGCTTATAGGTTTCATTCCAAATGTTTTTCCAGCTCTGCCAAGTGCTCCCTGTGATGTAATACCCCTCACCTGTAGGCCAATACTGAACATGGTGATGATGAGTGCAGGTATCAGAAGTTCCTTCCTGACACTTCAGGCTATCAGTTTACATGCCCTGAAGCATGACATTTTTTCCCACCCCAAAGTTAATATGAATGGCTACCAGTGTTACCAATGCTCATATAATCATCCAGCCCTCGATCTGGCTGCCTGCTGATGCAGAGCAGTCCACGGGGGCTGGTTAAACGGTGATAAAGGCTGGCTAGAAACAGTGAGGCTGCGTGGTTGTGGCTGTAGCCTGCAGGCAGTCAGGTTGCCTAATTAACCCCGCACCCCTATTCCTACTTCCAGGCCACAGACCATACCTTCCTCCAGAAGTGTCATTACCACCACGGCTCCAATGCATTATACACCAAACCAAAGATGCCTCTCCCAGAGTTCACCATCAAACACTTTGCTGGCAAAGTAACCTACCAGGTGAGTGGCTGGAGAATTGGGATTCGGAGTAGGACCGGTGTTCTTTAACTGCCAGTCTGGCTCTCTTTCCCACAGCTGTCCAGCGAGCGCTAGATCCTCAGCTGGTGTAAATCACAACTCCAGGGGCCCTTCATTTCTAGATCTTCCATGTCATACCCGATGGGTTTGACTAACTGGGGAGGGATCTGTTTATTTTTCCAGGTGCACAAGTTCCTGGATAAAAACTATGATCAAGTTCGCCAGGATGTTCTGGACCTTTTTGTCAACAGCAAAACCAAAGTAAGAGTTCACGCTGGCCTCTCTTTGCTGCCCTTGCTGGCGGCGCTGGCTGGGAGAGTGGCAGGGAGGGCGCTAGTGATGGATCTGGGGGTTGCCTGATGGTATGGTACAGCAGGATTGCATTTTCTATAAGAGGCAGTGTGACCTATTAGATAGAGCGGTGGACTGGAGTCAGATCAGGATTCTAGTCCCAGCTCTGTCTCTGGCCTATCAGGAATAGACTTCTCTCTGGACCTCAGTGTCCCCATATGATACTGACCTTTGTAAAGTGCGTCGAGGTCTACGGATGAGAAGAGCTGGGTGTTATTGTTACATGTACTGCCACTGGCGGGACTCCCTTTCCCACTCGGAGCAGTGACTGCAGTGAACGTAATTAGCTCCTCCAGTGTTCACGGGGCTGCCATGTGATTTCCCCCCTTGGAACTCTGTCATGCCTCTGGGCAGTATTTGTTTAGCTTGCTCTCTGCCAATCAATGCAAGTCCTGGCTGCCGAGGCTGAATCATGGAAATCGGAGCTAGAGAAGGCCTGTGATGTCACCTCCTTCTTCCCCGGGGCTTGGGGCAGGAAGGGTCTCTATAATAGGTTTCCCAGGAATTTGTCCAGCTGCTGAAGTCCATTCTAGAAGCTTGTGTGGATGTGAGTGGACTTGGAACTAGAGGTCTGTGAGTAACCCAGAACACGGATACACCTGCCAACCTATGGGCACTTGTTAATCCACCTGGCAAGTTGGCCAACGTGGTTTGTAAATGTACCACCTTCCCCCAAGACAGTGCTCCTGGGCAGGGTGGATCAAATGTAACAGACGAGGCCACTCTAGGATTTTGAAGAATACTCATATGCAGATGCTAGAGACAAATACTTTAACAACCACTGAACTCCACTCATTCCTGACATACTTGCCCTGTCTCACTCCAGCTAACTTGGCCGATAGCGCTTTGCTCTTCCATAGCGCCTTTGGTCTGAGTATCTCCGACAGATCACGTGACAAAAAACAAATACGCTTCCCAGCATCCCATGAGGACACAGTATGGGTGATCCCATCTCGTAGGTGCGGAAACTGAGGCACAGAGCAGGGAGGTGACCTGCCCAGGATCACACAGGAAGTCAGTGACAGGTCTGGGAAAAGAACCCAGGAGTCCTGACTCCCATTCCTGTGCTTTAAGCGTTAAACCCTCTGAGGATACACTGTGGACATAAGAAACAATAATAACCCCTAGCTCTTATCATCAGTAGATCTCAAAGAGCTTCACAGAGGAGGTCAGTATCATGATGCCCATTGTACAGATGGGGAAACTGAGGCACGGAGTGGGGCAGTGACTTCCCTAGGGTCACCCAGCAGGCCAGTGGCAGAGCTGGGAATCAATCCAGGCCTCCTGAGTCCCGGTCCAGTGCTCTATCCACTAGGCAACACCACAGAAAACATCTCAACAGAGCCCTAGTCCATCCTGCTTTTTAACCACGCCCCTCCCTTCCAAGGTGGTGGCCAACCTCTTCTTCGGCCACGCCCAGTTGGTGGCCCAGCAGAGGACCATGATGGGGAAGAACAGCACAGTCACCCGGCGGTATAAAGCACCGACGGTGGCAGCTAAGTTCCAGCAGTCACTCCTGGACTTGGTGGAGAAGATGGAGAGGTGAGTGAGCAGGGAGCTTAAAGAAACGAATTCAGAAATTGCCTATTCGGGGGTGGGGAAACGGGCTGGTGGGAAAGATCCGGCAGCTCCTCATCGTTCCACATTCCGGAGTGGGGTATAGACCTGCCCAAAGAGTCGCCCCACAGAGTCCTGGTCTGGAACACGGAGGGAAGGGATCTTTCCAGGACATTGTAACCACATAGTTGCAATACACTGGTCTCCAGAACCAGAAGCCAGGACTCTCACGGGGCCTAGGGGAGTTAGGTGCCTTGGAAAATCCCTGCCGGCGTGGCTGACGTGCCCAGAATGATCTGTGGGGAAGACAGCTGGTCAGCTACTCGGCTTGCTTTCACGGTCGCCGTGTGCAGCAGAGACCTCGCAGCCCTTCCCGGAAAGCCCTGTGGCCTCCAAGCTCGTGGGTTCCTTTGTCTCAGCTCCCCCAGCGGATAAACGTGTCTCTCTCTCCGATTCAGGTGCAACCCGTTCTTCGTCCGCTGCCTCAAACCCAACAACAAGAAGGTAAGAACGCGCCACGCAGCTGGGGTGGTGGTGGTGGGGGCCGGATGCAGGGTTAGCAGTGCCAAGGGCACGTCTCATTGACATAACCCCGGAGAGGGAGTTCCCCCTTCCCTCCCTGTTTCTATTAGTCCTGGGCACGATGGAAATGGTGGGCTGGGGAACGGGCTGTATGGAGAGGGGGTAGGTGTCCCTAGAGCTCTTGTTCCTGTGCTGAGCAATGGCAGTGCCCTCTGACGTCAGCTGGAGATGTGGGTGCTCAGCGGCACCTCTGAACATCACGGCCTAGCAAGGCATCCACAAAGGGAGCCCACTTTTAAAAACGGGGGCCAAAGTGACATGCCCAAGGCCACCCTGTGAGCCGGTGGCGGGGTCCGGGAATGGAAGCTGCAGTTCCTGACTCTCAGCCCTGGGCTTTACCCACTAGATCCTGCTTCTTCTTAGCACAGGGAGTAAGGCATGGGTGTCCCGTATGGGCATTGCGATAAGTGCGCCCAACCCTGGCTGGGGTCACAGTGGGAGGGGTGCTGTAAAGGGAGGGGGCTGCTAGTAGCCCAGTGCCTTTCAGTTCTGTGCCACACGGCCTGCAGTGCATTGGCAGCTCCAGTGACACTGTTCCCCAGCCTGGATCCTATCGCTCCAAAGGCCGTTTGGTGAGATGTCTGGCCTGCACCTGTCTCATTGAACGAAGGGAGACAATGCACCGAGACTGGACCTCACCCATTGTCCGGCTCGTTTGCTCTCGAGCAAACACACTTCCTGCTCTTTACCCACTCCCTTTCCCGGTTACCCTCCCGGCTTCCTTTGAGAGAAGAGCCAGCTGCTGGGCCAGAAAGCCGATAACGCGCTGCATTGAGGTGTGTCTCTGACCTCACGCAATGTGTGTCCAAATGTCCTCCGCTGGGTGGAATCTCCAGCCTGCTTAAGTGTGTGTGATCACATCGCCCTCTAGAGGCTGGAATTGTGAGCGCCTATAAGCCTTAATATCACCACACAGACTGCGCATTTGGCCGCTTAAGACACATCCGGCCGGGGTGGCACCAACCACTTTGTTCCTGGAATAGCATTTGTCACAGCCGAGCAGATATAAGCTCTTTGCAAACGTGCTGCTTGACACTTTGTCACAAAGAGTGAGGCGAAAAAGCCCTGTCCAGAGAGGAGAATCCCCTTGGAGATCCGGCTTTAGTTGCCGGTAGCAGGAAGTTTGCAAGCAGATGAATTGCACAAAAGCATTTCAATAACATCAGGAATGCGATGCTCTAGCCATGCTGTCTCGTAAGCAAGAGCTTCCTCCTCCTCACTGCCTTCTTCTCCCCCAGACCTCTCCCCAACCAATGACACTCCCTGCACCTAGACTCCGACTCAGCAAAGCTCTTAAGTAAATGTGTAGCTTTAGGTCCCGCTGAAGTCAGTGGCCTGGAGTTGAGCGTGTGTTTGAGTGCTTTGCTGACTCGAAGCTCCGAGGATGCTGCATTGTCCCCACACAGCCACCAGCCCTGTCTTCCTCGCTCCTGCTTCACTCACGAGTTGTCTGGTCCCCGCTGCCCGATCCCCCTTTGGCTCGAACAGGCGATTAAAGCCAGACTGTCACGACCCCCCCGCCGCCTTTCCCCTTGCTCAGGAGCCAGCTGTCTTCGAGGCGGACATTGTCAGCAGCCAGCTCCGGTACTCTGGAATCCTCGAGACCATCCGCATCCGCAAAGAGGGCTTCCCGGTTCGCATCCCCTTCCAGATCTTCATCGACAGGTGCTGCTGCCTGGAGTTGCAGATTCCAGACTGAGAAGCTTTGGGATGCGGGTGGGAAGGGGCATTTCCCAAGAGTGAGCTCGAGCAGATGGAGTGGTGGGAAGGGAGGGCAAGGTAGATTCCACACAGGGGGAGCGCACTGTAGGGAGCAATCCAGTCCCCGCCCCCACCCCCCCGCAGACGGCTCCTAACAGGTCTCCTCCCTCTCTAATTTAAATGAGTACCGGGGAGCACATCTCCCGGATTTCTGTTCTGGGCCCTGTTCTTGGCTCTGATGTGGGTGGAATTACTCAAGAGGGTTTGACTTGACTTGAGTCTCTGGATCTCATGCATTAACTGTGCTCCCGGGGCTCTCTAGGTACAGGTGCCTCGTAGATATCCGGCCTGGCATCACCCCAGATGGTGTGAGCTGCGTGGAGGTGCTGAAGAAGCTGTGTGCTGTGAGTCCCACCATGTACTGCATTGGAGTCAGCAAGGTACGGCTGTTGCTTTTCCCTTTGACCATGGCCAAGCTTGTCTGAGTAGCCTGGACAGGGGAAGGGAAATCAAGGGCAGGATGTTGTACGGATCCTGCCCATGGTGAGGGCTTATGGCTGGCTGGGAATGGGATGATGTCTCAGCCTGGGGGAACCCTGCACCATTTGTATCCTGTGGGCCACAGGGTCTGTTTGCAGGGACTGGCAGGGGAAGCTACCTCTGGAGGTTCCCCTGCATGAACCAGCCACTCCAGGGAAGGGCCGGGGCGGCCGGGCGACATTTGTCAAGGTTGGTGGACTGTTAGGGTCAACGCCTGCAAACAGTGCAAAATCCCAAACCGTAATGACGGGCCTGAGGTCACATTTTCAGTTGTGCCCACGCAGCGGGCACGTGCAGCCATGCCCACGGAACGGCATGCCCTGCTTGCACGTGGCACTGCACTTGTGAATCAAGTAACTGCACTCACCAGTGGCCCCTGGTGTGCAGAGTGGGTTCTCCGCATGAACGCTTACCTGCTTGCATTGCAGTCCCAGCAACGCCGTGCACACCATTGCACATGCACTTTTAGCACGTGCACGATATGGAAATTAAACTCTAACCCTAACAATATTTCCTGGGGCTGCCCTGTCTGTCTGTCTGCGTCCATCTGTTGTCTTGTGTCTTCGGCTTAGATTGGAAGCTCTTTGGGGCAGGGGTTGTGTGTGGTTCTGTGTTGCTACAGTGGGGTCTTGGTCTCTGACTGGAGCTCCTACATGCTACCGCCATACAAATAATAATAATGCTCATTATAATAATAATCCAGCCCAGACTGTGCAACACTCGTTTGTAGGAATCTCATCAGTTCTTGCCTGCCAGAGGCCTCCTGGAAGAAGGGTGCTAATCCAGGCCAGAAGTCAGTATCGCCAACCCCAGAAGTTCAAAAAGCATGAGTCAGACCCCCCAACTATCACGTGATTGGCCCCATTATTATGAGATTTTAAAAAAAATATTATATTGTGTTTTTGATTTGGCTTTGATTTTTGAATTCCCGATGTGTTTGGGGCAGTTACAATGTGTGATCTCCCCTTCCCCGCCCATGGTGTGTGTGGGGGAGTTACTGTGTGTGATCTCCCCCTACTCCTCACCCCCAGGTGCTGGTGAGTCAGTTACAATGTGTGATCTCCCCCTACCCCCTCCAGGGTGCATGTGGGCAGTTACAGTGTGTGATCTTCCCCTTCCCCCCCAAGGTGCGTGTGGGGCAGTTACAATGTGTGATTGGCCCCTGCCCCCTCCCTGGGGTGCGTGTGGGGCAGTTACAGTGTGTGATATCCCCCTGCTCCCCCCCGGGATATATGGGACAATTAGTGTAGCCAGTAAGGTGGTTCTGGCTCTGCTGCAGAAGCTCTTGCTGTTGCTTGATGGTGCAGAGCTTCTCCCCAACCCCAAATTCTATTGAATGAATTCTCTGTTCCTCCCCCAGCCCCACATCAACTCTGCTCCCACAACCCGCAGCCTCACTTGCAGGTGCAGGGACTCCTCACCGCCCCGCTTCTCAGCCTTGGTGTAGCAAGGATCGAGAGGGATGGGGGGGAGGGGGAAGAGCAGGGAGCAAACTGACCCAGTGCTCACAGGAGGGAGGGGCAGGAGGAAGCAAATAGAACCCAGCAGCTCAGCCCTACCCAAAAAACTCCTCTTGGTTCATGGGCCAGAGCAACGGGGGAGTTCTGCCTGCATCTGCGGGAGCTGCGATTGGCTGCCCTTCCCCAGGAGGCGGGGCAGTGGGGAAGGCAGCCAATCAGGGGATGTGTGCCCCCCCAGGCAGGGCTGAAATTGGCAAGAGAGCGGGAGCATCTCGTGTCCTCGCCAGACATGCTCCAATCCCAGCTGAAATCCTTGCGTGGAAACGGCGTGAGCTGACGGCACCGCGAATGAGCTGTCATTGCTGGCGTTTGTTATTCCTTGTCCTTTGGAAGCACCCAGAGGGCTCAGTCGGGCTCAGAGCCCCATTGTGCTGTGAGCTGAACAAAGCAGCGGGCTCCCCCCTCCCCAGATCATTCAGGCGTTACACAGACCAAATCTGCTGCCGTCTCCAGCGCTGGGCGGGGGGGTTATTGTCTCTGCTGCCCCCAGGGTGGTCCTGGAATCCCCAAACATTCCCCTGTTTCAGGTGGGTTTCCTGTGGGAGCTATTTGCTATGGCTGAGCCCAGAGACCGCAGACTTTGTGTTGTGTGCAGTGCTTTTTTTAGAGTGTCTGCATCTCTCTGGGGATTCAGTCCCTGGGTCTTTGTCCCCGTGTCTTACAGCACTGCCCAAGGCATGATCTAGTCCCCTAGAAACACCCCGCCTGCCGGGCCCAGTGGTTTATCCCGGCTGGTGCTAGGGCCCGTATCGTCGGTGTGTGATGCTCTGTCGGCTCTGATCCCGATGGGGAAATTCAGACGTGCCCTTTGCTGTAGTGTCCACGGCCTCTTTGATAGCCAGACATGTTGGGAGTTGGAAACGGACGTTGTCATAGCAAGGGTGATTACAGCTGGCATTAAAGGGACACCGACTGGCAGCGGGCACTGCTGGCACCCTGCATGGTAACTGTACTCTTGGCCTGATACAGCCCTGAAAATCCTGCTGCCAAACTGGCCCCCTGGTGCCCTGATTACACGAGGGGGGGGGTCAGAACTTGGGCCCCCAGGCTGCTGCGGAAGCAGTGCACACTCGCCTGGGGGATGCACCCTCTCTCCCATAGCCGGGCCACGTCAAGGAGCGGCGCTAAGGGGCTGAATGGTCAGCTCTCCTCGCCCACAGGGAGGGTCACTGGCGGGCAAAGCTTTCGAAGGTGAGAGGAGTCCTTGGTGTGCCAAGGAGAGCCCTAGCTGGGTGACCTCAGCTAAGCGCAGCCAGGGAGCTGGGCTTGCTGGGCTCATGGGTGAGGGGTCCACTAGGCCACATTCTCCTCCCCTACCGGCTCCGCTCACGACCTGCCGCGGGATGGAAACTGATGAGTGCCCCCCTGGCTCGTACACCTGCGTCTTCGGATGCCCTGGGCCACCACTGTGGTGCCCGACCGTACAGCCATGTGTCCCTGTGTTATCGACCCCTTGGCGTCCAGACTCGGTTGTCTTGCTATGCAGCCCCTCCGCAGAGTGGGATAACGAGATGTCCTGTGGCCATCTGCATGCAGCTCACGCGGGGCAGAGGGTTAAGCCAAACCCTCCCCAACCCTACTTTGCTAGTTCTCATAGAGCCTGCCCCAGACCCCACTGAAATCAACAAGAGTCTTTCCATTCCCGCCCACAAGCTTTGGGCCAGGCAGAGTTCCCCTGGAGGTCAGTGGGAGCTGCTGGGGCAGGAGCAGGATCAGCCCCAGCCTGGCTGGTGTCCTTTGGGTAGGTGGGTGAGCTGGTTAGAAGCTGCCTCCCGCAGGGGTGGGCGCTGATACCTTTTCTCTCTCTCCCTGCTGCCAGCTGTTCATGAAGGAGCACCTGTACCAGCTGCTGGAGAGCAAGCGGGACCGTGCCCTGCACCGGGCAGCGCTCACCCTGCAGCACTACGCCCGCGCCTTCTTCATCAAGAAACGCTTCCGCTCGCTGCGCCGCAAGATCATCCTCCTCCAAAGCCAGTCCCGGGGCTACCTGGCCAGGTGCTGGGGGGCGGGGCACTGCCGGGGTGCCGCTCTGCCCTGCCACGCAGGGGCCCAGCCAGCCGCTCACTCTCCTGCTTGGGAAGGGCTGTGGGGACGAGCTACTGGGGGACAAGGCTGGGCCAAAGCCCACACCAAGGTCCCAAGCCCTTCGGGGCGCCCCTGGGCTGAGTTTCAAGTGGCCCTACGCTGAGCTTTGGGATCAGGCGGGATCCAGGCAAAGCCAAACCGTTTCAATGGGCAGAGCATAGACTATTGGGGGCACGTTCCAAAACGAAACACGGGGGGGGAGAATCTGCCCCCATTCCCCTGGTGTCAGGGCCTACGGAGCAGGCATGACCTTTCACCCCATGGCAACCCCCACCCCCCGAGGACCTGATTCAAAGGCCATTGGCAAGACTCCCATCAACATCAGTGGGGTTTGGCTCGGGCCCTCAGCCTACATGTTACATGTATGTAGAATCCTCGGGTAATAGAGTCCAAACCAGCGGGGCACCTGCAAGCGAGCCAGGCTGCCGACTGTAATTAGAGGATGGGCTGAAAATCTCTGTTCTCTCCCTAACCGTTCCAGACAGAAGTTGGGGAGGGGAGGACGGGGAGCTGGACTGGGAGCATCCGGCAGCAGACAGGGGACAGGCTGATTCGGTGCCATGGGAGCACTCCGGTGTCACGCACTTATGGCCAGTGCTGGTCAGGTGGAGCCCAGAGTCCCTTCCCTGTGCCTGACTTCCCACCTTCCCGAAGCTGAGCTATTTGTTCCTGCTGCTTGGGCAGTGCCAGGGGTCTTCCCCCTGGGCTGGGATCCGTGTACGGGGCCCGGCGTAGAGACTTCCACCTCCCCCACTAACCACGGGGTTGCTGTCCCCTGCAGGCAGAGATACAAGCGGCTGAGGAAGAGTCTGATCAAGTTCAGGTCCCTGGTGCACATGTACGTGAATCGCAGGAGGTACCTCAAGGTGAGAGCAAGCGGCTGGCGCGGCGGAATGGCAGGGGAGGGGATGGGAGGGAAGGGGGTCATGCAATGTGCCGTGGGCCTGTATTGCAGGGAGCTCTGTTGGTCAGGACTAAGGGGCAACAGCAGAACTGTGGGGGGCTCAGGGGTGGAATAGCAGGTCAGGATTGAGGGGCACTGGCAGAAGCTTGCACTGTCTGTCCTTGTCTCTAGCTTGTTCTGTAGCACCAAATTCACCCAGAAAATCCAGAGTGTATTTAGTGTAGGGGGGTCGTTACCAGTCGCCCAGGCAGAAGTAAGGACATAAGAACGGCCAAGCTGGGTCAGACCAATGGTCCGTCTATCCCAGGATCCTGTCTTCCGATGGTGGCCGGCGCCAGATGCCCCAGAGGGAGTGAAGAGAACAGGGCAATTTATCGAGTGATCCATCCCCTGTCGTGTCCTGGCTCCTGCGCTGTGTGGCGATAGTGCAGTCAAACGGTCTGAATGCTATGGGCCTGTGCCACTCGGGGCTGGTGTTAGTGACAGCCGCTTTGCACAGGGCCAGCGGCGCTGTGTCATTGTGCACAGCGGGTGTGACTCTGACCAGACGTGTGGGAGACACCGACATGGACGGAATTCACCCAAACCTGACTGGAGTCTTTGAAAGTGTGTCTGCTCCCTGCCCCGCCAACACAGGGGCATGGACTGGCTGTCCCATGGGCCAGGAACTGGTCTGAGATCCCGATGCTGGCACGTGCCCAGAAGCCCCTGGAGAGATGTGAGATTGCAGAGGGAATGGCGTTCAGATCTTGGACTCCCGTGGCCAGGGCAGGATCCTGTGGGCCAGAGCCAGCTGCTGGAACTCAGAGCATTATGTATGCTCCTGGTCCGCTGTCAGGGGCGTCTGATCTTCTTACCCGTGGTGCTGGCTGGGGTGTGTGTTCCCCTGCTGGCTGGGGACTCGGGAAGCTCGGGGTAGCCTGCAGTGGGGGCGCAGATCCAGCTGTGCCTGACCCCCCTGCCTAAGGGAAGGATGGAGGGCTGGGAGCTGCAGAGCGTATGAGACGCTCCCCCAGGGTGAGAAGCCCCCAGTGGCCACTTGCCTTGCCTGTGCCAATGCCCAGCCCTGCCCCTGGCTCCCTCCTCACCATCTGGCCCCCAGTGCTCCCAGTTCAGAGCAGAGACTCTCTGGCTGCTGTGCTGGGGGCGGGGATCCGGGCCAGGCACCCGAGTGCCGGCGCAGGAGGATGGGTTAAGCCCTGGCTTAGCCAGCTCTGTAGGCAAACAAACAGAGCAGCCTCAAAGCAGCGAGTCCCGCCCCGGCCAGCTGTGCAGGGACTGGCACATCCCTTGCCCCAGGCCCGGCAGCAGTAGCAGCACTGGGCCCCCGGGAGCCAGTCGGGGCCCATGAAGAGCGTCCGGTTCCAGCTGGATGGCGAGGACACGGTGAGTAACCAGCCAGAGCGTCCGGCCCAGCCTAGCAGGGCAACGGGACGAGCCCAGGGGAGGTAGGGGCAGCCTCTGTGCATGTGCAGGAGGGATCCTGGTGCCCACTCCCAGGGCCTGCCTGTGCGCGGGCACTGGGCTGTCTTCTGATACCGATGGACCCCTTGGCTGGTCTCCTGCTGCCTTTCGCCAGGGTGGAGCTGAGCGCTCAGGAGAGGGAGAGAATAGAGCCAGGCGTGGTGCAGGCAGGGGCTGGGCACCCTTCCCGCACCCAGCTCTGCTGATGCCACCCCCAATACAACCTGCCCCCCCCCTGCTATCCCAACGCTGGGCTCCCCCTCACCGCTCTGCCGAGGGGGTGCTGGCAACAGGGGAGCCCCTGCAGGTCATGCGTGTCCATGTGCTGTCCAGCCACCAGCCCAGCCTGCTGTACCTCACGGTACAGAACTCTGATCCCGCTGGTTTGGCTTCATTCCCGCGTCATCCTCCCACGCCCCTCCCATCCCGGCCAGATTCCTAGCGGGCAAGCGACCCGGCCCAGGCAACCGGAGCCATTCGCACAGCAGCCGGCTGGGTGTGTGTCGCTGCTGCTCTCCACGTGCCAATGTGCTCTGGTTTCAGAGGAAGGAGGAGGCTCGCAGGCGGGCGGAGGAGGAGAAGAAAAAGGCTGAGCAGGTAATGCCTGGTGGCCTCAAGTGCGCGCCTGCTGGTGCGTGGACGTGTGAAGTGTGTGTGTAGCACATGCCGTGGCGGGTGCGTGAGTGCACTGGTATGTGGGTGTGATGGATGCATGCTGATGCGGGTAGAGGGCACATGTTGGACGTCTGTGGAGGGTGCATGCCAGTGCCACTCAGTGAGTGTGTGTGTGTGTGTGTGTGTCCCTGCTGGGCTGTGTGGTGGGTGAGGTGTGCCTGGGCTGGGGGTGGGGTTACGGTAGCTGCCCACTGGAACAATTCTGGGTCACGTTCTGCTGTTGCCCACGTCAGCTGGACTCACCCTCATCCCTATGCTTGGCTGGGATGGTGGAAGAGCTCAGGGCCCGGCTGAGCGAAGCAGGTGGCCGTCTTTCCATCTCTGGACCCTGCTGTGGCTGGGTTCTGGGAGCCCAGCCTGCGCTTCCCCCGCACAGGGGATTGGACCTGGAGAGGTGATGCGGGGGGAGCCTGTTAGATCATCCAGCGCTCCAGCTCAGCACCGGAGGAGAGCATGGACGGTGATGGGGGTCTCTGTGCTCTGCTCTCAGGAGCTGACCAGGAGGGAGGTGGTGGATGTAACGCACCTGGAAGTCCCCGCTGAGCTAGCGGGGCTGCTGGAGCTGGCGGCAGGTAAGCGCTCATTTCCCACACAGGGCTGGGTCCGAGCAGCTGGGAACGGTCCAGAGGGGATCCAGGCCCACTAGCAAAGTCAGCTTCACCAGCACCGGCCTCCTGTCTCTGCAGACAATCCCATAAGACTGCCCTGCTCAGCGTCTGCCTGCTCTTGTGCAGCTCAGATGCCAGACTCCACCCCAGAGGTGGTTGCCCTGCAGTGGTAGGTGAGGAGCTCCCTAAATCTAGGGGGGTCAAATTCTAGCCAACTACTGCACCCCTAGCACCCCATGGGAGTCACGAGGGTGCAGTGGAGAAAAAGGACCTGTCCCCCAGCCTGTTAAATGCCTTGGGACCCTCAGGGAGAAAAACCGGCTAGAGATGGAAGCTGTTATCATGACCAAGTCGGCAACTAGAGGGACCCCTTCCCAGAGAGGAGGCAGCAGGGGGCCAACCACACTCGATCCTAGGCAGAGCTGTCTAGTGGTTAGAGCACGGGACGGGATTCAGGATGCCTGGGTTCTATTCCCAGTTCTGTCATTGGCCTCTGAGCCTCAGTTTCCCCCTGGGATACTGTGAGGTTTAGCTGGGCCACGTTGGTCTAGGCGTCTCCAGAGAGAGTCAGCAAGCGCTGTCTCTGCCCTGCCCCCAGAAGGAGCTCAGCCCAGCCTCCTGGCTGCACCAACATGGGTTTGATTCTGCCCTGCCCTGGAGCCGAAGGATCCCAGGCTGAGACACCCCAGGGAGCTTCTGTTTGCTGCCCACCTTTATTCCCTAAGCCAGTGGCAGGGGCTGGAGCCTCTCCTCCTCCCGACCCCACTGACTCCTGGTGCCTCTGTTCTCCCCCAGCTCACAAGCCGGTGAATGCTCAGTGCGTCGTTCCGGTCCCTGCGCCCAAACTGCACACGGACTCCCGGCTCACCCTGCCACTCGACATCAACAACTACCCCATGGCCAAGTATGTGCGGGTCCACTTCCAGGTAAGGGACGCACCGAGCAGCCCCCTGAGCCACTCCGCGCCCTCGAAAGAACGGGCAGTAGAAGGAGGGAGGGATGCTCAGTAGTTAGCTGGGACCGGGAGCCAGGACACCTGGATTCTATTCCTGTCTCTGGGAGGGAGTCAATCCTCTGGGAGTTAGAGAGCGTGCTGGGAATTCAAACTCCAGGGCTCTCCTCCAGCTCAGGGAGGGAGTGTTAAGTGGTTACAGCAGGGGCCTGGGAGTCAGGACTGCTGGAGTCTCTTCCCGCCTCTGCCATCGACTCGCCGAGTGACCTTGGGCAAGTTACTTACCCTCTTGCTTTCCCCAGCTGCAAAACGGGGCTGATGGTGCTTACTGACCTCCCAGGGAAGTTAGGAGGGGCCTGATCCTGTGACATGCTGAGCACCGGGTCAATGAGCACACAGGATGCTGAGGCTTGGATGCAAAGGGCTCCCTCCAGGCAGATTGTAGCGTCTGTGAATGGGCCTGAGCTTAAAGGGACTCGGTTGAGAGAAAATCAGACGACTGGAGAAAGGAAGCATGCTTCTCTGTGCTACTGGCTCCCCTTTGATCACCGAATCAACGTCCCTGACCTGTGCGTGCCATGTGCCTTCTGGGTTTCACTCAGCCCGGGCCGGGATCCGAGCCGGCTTTGTTCTAGTCCGGCCTGTCATTCGGGTCTCACGCATGCAGCAGGATGCCACAAGCCACAGGCAGACGTTTGCATTTTTGTCCGGAAGATCTTGTCGTCATCGAATTCTCACTCACACGCTTCTCTTCCCAGGAGATTGTGCACGGCATCTGCTGGTGCCCAGGGGCTGGGTCCTGCTCTCCGCGCTGCTCCTGGAGTGATGGAGTCACTCTGCGTCTGAGAGCAGAATACGGCCCCTCGCTCGGCATTTGGCCTGTGCCTGTCTCGTGGAAGTGGTGTGCGCCCGCGTGGGGCTGCTGTCTGACAGACCGTTCTGTATCTCTACAGCGGGATGCTGCCCTACCTCCCTCACTTCCCAGCTGAACGCACCGGGCTCGGTGCTGGGGGATTTTGTAACGTTCCTTTAGTCACCAATGATCGTTCCAGCCAGGACCTTTCAACGGGCCTTGCCCATCGTTGGCCTTCATGGCTGCCCATAGCCTGAGCTTTGCCGAACCCCTGCAGCGGGGTTCAATGCGCCTGTCCTCTGTTGCCCCGCAGGAGCCGTCGTTCGGGATGCTCACCGCGCCACTGGCGTCCCCGCTGACCCAGCTGGAGGAGGAGCTGGTGCAGGAAGCGCTCAGTCTGTTCAAGCTGGTAGGTTGGTGTTCACAGCATCTCCTGGCCTCATCCCCAAGGCCTCTGGTTTGTCCAGAGCGTCTCCTTGTGGTCTGGGGATTGCAGAGGGAAGGGAGCAAGGCTCCGTCCAGCCAAGGGGTAGGAGGATTCATGGCTAATGGGCATAAGTCCATAAATCAGTTTGGGCTGGAGGCCTGGGATGCCCCCTCAGGTCCTGCCTCCAGCCCCTGATCCCTGGCCTGACTCTGCTGTCCTGGCCATAGGCACATGCTCAGAGGGGCCTTTCAGCAGGGATGGAGAAAAAAAGACCACCAGGAGTTCACAGCGTTGCTATGGGACCTCGTGGCTTCTCCAGCACCAGCCCAGCGCCCATGACGGGTGATGCTAAAGATCTTGACCCACCATCTCCAAAGGGGTGAAACCAGCCCACTCAGAGCCCAGGGTGGTGGGGTTGGGACAGGGAGCTCTTCAGGAGGAGGGCTAGCTCCTGCACCAGTGCTCTGCCAGCCCTGTCCCCTCTCAGGGATGGGGAGTGACACTGCACCAGGGCAGGCTGGGCACAAAGGCAGGCGCTGGGACCAGCAGCTGCAGCGCGGATGGCTCCATGGAGATGGGATGATGCCTCCCAGGAGAAAGATGTCCGGGGGCACCCCTGGAAAGAGGGGGGAGGCCTGTCTGTGTTGGGGGAAGGGAAGGAGAGATTTCTGACCGTTGCTCGGTATCCCACATCTCCTGGCCCCTCTCCCCGCGGTAGATTCTGCGCTTCATGGGTGACCCGCACCTCGGCGGCACCCCGGAGAGCCTGTTTGGGAACTACATCGTGCAGAAGGGGCTCTGGGCGCCGGGCCTGCGGGATGAGATCCTGGCTCAGATCGCTAACCAGGTGTGGCGCAACACCAACGTCAACAACGAGGAGCGGGGCTGGCTCCTCCTGGCCGCCTGCCTCAGCGGCTTTGCCCCCTCCGCCGGCCTGGAGAAACACCTGCTCAAGTGAGCACTGGGGCTGGGGAGAGGCCGTGAGGGAGCCCATGGGACAGGGCTGAACATCCCTCCTTCTAGCCCCCTTAGCTGCCAGTGAACCCTATGGGAATCAAGGGCATCCGCACATACAGCTCCTCCGCAGGGCTCAAACCTGCAACCCTCCGCCCCAAAACCTCTGGCTTGTACCCCTTGAGCTAAAGCAGGAACTCCTTTAGCTGTGCGGCAGCAGTAGGCTATTGTAATCCCTGGGCTGGCCTCTAGGGGGAGACATCAGCACTCACACTAAGCGCAGGGTATTCCATCAGCACCTGGAAAGGTTGGGGCTGTTGGATGCGCAGCCGGAGACATGCCCCTGCCTCGCGGCTCCATCAGGGCTTCCAAGTGACCCATGGCGTTGCCTGGAGAGCACGAGTCAGTGAAAGTCAAAGGAGGTTGGGTCCTGCTTCACTGTGCAGATGCGTGTCCTGCTGGCCCAGCCCCCTCCCACGGCGTCCATCCTTCCTGTGTAGGTTTGTTTCCGACTACGCCTTTGATGGCTACAAGCCGGTGTGCCAGCACAAGCTGATGCAGGCCATGCTGAGGTCCCAGCTTGGCCCCGAGGCGGCCCGGGCCTACCCACCGTCGCTGCTTGAGTGGACAGCCAACAGGCAGAGAGCAAGCATGGCCTTGGACGTCTACTGCTTCAACGGTGAGGGGCCTCTGGGACGAACCCAGGGGCCTTGGTCAAGACTCAGCCCGGGGGGTCAGGGGGATCGAGGGCGGCTGCAGGGAGAGGTGATGCCACTGCCCTGGTGGGCCAGACGCTGGTGGGCCTGGCTGGCACTCCGCGCACACCCCCATGGCTCAGTGGGGGCTCACAGGGGTTAGTGAAGACAGAACGTGGCCCAGAGTCTGGGCTCTTGGGGGTGGATAAAGCCAGGATCTTGGGGAACTGGCCCTAGAGTGCGGGGGCGTGGGGGAAGCAGGGAGGCTGGTGGCTGGGCCGCTGCGCTTGCAGGGGGATCGGGACTGAGAGGCAGAGGCAGACTGGGAAGCGATGTGCAAGGGGAAAATGGGATGGGGGGTGAAGGAGTGGGGGCGCAGTAATTTGGGGGAGTCCAACATTTGGGTGCACCCCAGCCCTCATTTAGCCTTAACCATCCTCTGTTTCCATCCCTTCCCCATGCCCTTCTTTCCCTGCCCAGCCCCGGGGGCAGTTTTGCCAGTGCGCGCTCACTGCCCCACGTACCCAAACGGACTCCAGGTGGGGGGTGCGTGGGTCGGGGCTGGGGTTCGGCTGCTCGGTAACATGCAGCGATTTGACCGTCTGCTCTTAACTTCTCAGGTGACTACTTCTCCTGCCCCATCCATTCCTGGAGCACAGGGGAGGAGCTGGCAGGGGACGTGCTGAAGCACAGGTAGGGGGGCTTTGGCCCTGCTGGGGACGGCCGGCGTCCCGACCACCTGCCCCATGGATCTGTCTGCTCCGTTTCCCACAGGGACTGTGGAAGCCCTTGGCCCACGCTGTGCTAGGCAGAGCCAGCTAGGCTGGGGCTCTCTAGTCAAGTAAGAAGCAATGACTAGCTAACGCTACACAATTTGGATCCAGAGTCCCAATGGGCAGGGTGCATACGGATCTGGGGCCCGAGAGGGCTGGTTCAGGCCCCATCTCTAGCCATACGCAGCGTCTCGGGCGCAAAGCAATGAGTCCTTCCCCAGCAGGGCCGTGGACTATCGCAGCAGCTGCTGGCTGTGGAACTGGTGGGCCCTGGTTCTATTTCGGCAGCTGTGGGTGCGTGTTGGGGGGCTGCTGCTGGGTCTCGATGCATGGAGGGCCAGGGCCAGGGCCTGGCCTAGTGGTGGGGTTGAGCAGGCAGGGCTCACCCCACGAAGGCCTGCCCTGGGCCTGCTCTGTCTCCTCCTCGCTGCGTCCCCCCTCAGGAGTGCGCTCTCCTGGCTCAGACGCTGTGCTTTGCCGGCAGGGGGCTGATGGAAGGCTGGAGGGGCTGGTCCATCTCCATGAAGGATGGCGCCCAGTGGGCTGAGCTGGCTGGCCATGATTACATCCTGGACCTCGTTTCCGACCTGGAGCTGCCCAGGGGCTTCCCCAAGCAGAAATCTTATTTCATCGTCGCTTCAGAGCGGGTGGACAAGGGCAGCAGCGCCGCCAGCACGTAGGTATCCGGGGATGCTGAGTAGCCTAGAGGGGAGAGCCTGGCCGGGCCCGGGGGCCCATGAGCTCCCAGCGGCTGTGGGGGAGGTCAGAACCCCAGATCCCCAGTGTGCAGACCTATTCCAGAGCCGCTTGGAGCATCTGGATGCCCTTCACAGCAGCTCTGCTTTTAAAGGGACAGCTACCAGAGCGCTGGGCCCCTTTGAAGCTCCCGATCATTCAGCTGCATAGTGTGCAATATACGTACCACTGCATGCACTGCAAATGCTTTCTGAGAGGCGTGAGGTGTGGCCATCAGAAGGAGGCGTGGCCAGAAGAGGGGGTGTGGCCTCTGGAGGGAGGTGTGGCCTCTGGAGGGAGCGGAGCATAGGCCTGGGAGCCAGGAACAGCTGGGATCTTATCACAGCAGGGCCACTGGCTCGCTTTGATCTTAGGCGCCTGGAAGGGCAGAAATCTTGCGAGATCCGGAGTGTTTGGGCAGGGTGGGACGAGCGCCCATTGCCGGACCCTCAGCCTAGCCCTGCCTCAGAGCCGGCTGCACGCAGGGTCTCTATCTCAGCGGGTCTCCAGCAGCGATGATGCCAGCAGCCGCCTGCAGTCACCAGCAGATGAAGAGAAACCAATGAAGGGTGGAGATTAAACAGCTGTTCCCTCTTTATGCCCCCCCCCCCCCGCTTTTTTCTCTGTAGAGTATTCGGACAAGGCTTGGATTCGGACGAGGAAGTCCCTCCTCCCCCACTCACAAAGGCCCCCACTCTGCCGCCTCCAAACACCCCTGACTCAGATGGATATTACAGTCGTGGTAAGAGTCAAACTCGCCTTCCTGCAGCCTTCTCCCCCCAGACTGGGCCCCTCTTTCCACAGACAGAGCAGTGCAACTCCCATTCACTTCAGGATCCAGCTCAAAATCATCTTGGCCTGGGGCTTTAGAAAAAGGCAACCCTTCCCATAATGCACCTGACCACTCCTGGTCTCTGTAGGGGAGGGGGGTTTGAGGGCCCTCCTGACCCGATGCCCTGAAGCATGAGATTTGGTCACCCCCGCTTTAGCCTGCAGAGATGTTAATGTCACCATGGCCATGGAATTATCCAGCTATAGACTCTGGAGTGCAGGGAGTTTCGCGGTTACGGGCCATTAGCCCATGAACCCGGGAAGCGTTTGGAAGCAGTAGGCACTAGTCAGCCAACACCTTCCTCTTCGGCTAACTCTTCCTCTGCCTGTTGTGACCCCGCCAGCAGATTCCGACACCGTCAGCGAAGCTCGAACACACAAGGGGTTGGATCGTTACCTGGACAGTCTGTTTGACCCGGTCCTGTCCTATGGGAATGGGGTAAGGACAGTTCCCTGTTGGGAATGAGAGGAAGGACGGCTGGGGCTTGGGAGCCCGGCCCTACTTCACGGAGGTGTCATTAAGGACTGTGGGGGCCCAGTGACTAGGGAAATGGGGCCCAGGCAAGGACCATAGATAGATCAAGGGAGTCCCTGTCTTAACTGCAGCAGTTTCCCCCCGGGACCCTTAGGCGCTTGGGTGTAAGAAGGGAATGAACCACAGCAGAAAACTCTTTGGGGCTAGATTCACGGGGCAGCAGAGTCTATGTTTGCTAGCCAGGCCCCCTGCCCAGTGTCAGCAAGGCTGACGGGTTTAATCTGCTGTCTCTGCCGAATGGCTTAAGCACCAGGTTGGAAGCACTGCAGCTTTAAGTCTCTGGCACTTAAGCACCTGTGTGGGCCCCTATGATCCCACAGCTCTTTGGTGAGAATCCAAGCTGGGTGGCCTCTGTTCTCCCGCTTCCCTTCCCACCCCAGAGGTGGCTGCATTTCCATAGCAGGGGTGGCCCTTTGGGAGTGGCATGAAAGCTGCTGTATAAACGTCACCCGCTATTATGTTACTGGAGTTTATTCTTGTCTCTTGTGCTGTGCCAGGTGGCAGGCCCCGGGAAGGGGATCAGTTACATTGCAGTTGAGAGGGCTGGATGGAGCCATCACCCTCATCTAGGCAGAACCATTAGGTGGGCTCCCCGAATGGGGGCATGGGGACGAGTTACCCCGGGAGAAGCTAGGAGGCATGAAACCTGAGTTGTTACGACGCCTCAGCCGTATTGGCTTTTGGCTCCCTACCTGTCCATTGCGATTGCAGCGTTAGTGGGGAAGGAGCTGTCACTCGATCTCCCTGGCCTGGATGTTCCCTGGCACTCGTCTGCCGTGGCTGGGATCACTTTCCAGCCTGCCACCGAGGCTCCCGCCCCTGCCACCCTCGAACCTTTGTTTGCTCTGTTCCCGCCTCTCTCCCGTGCCAGGACTTGGAGAAGCCGGCTGCTGTCTCCCGGAAGATGAAAGGAGGCGGCCGAGTAGGAGGTGGGGGCAGCAATGTGGACCAAGGCAGTGCCAGAGCACCCATGGAGATGCCCCAGCAGACTGGTGAGTGTGGGCAGAGCCTCCTGGCCTTGCACAGGGCAATGCCTGCCAGAGCAGGACTCTGCAGGGCGCAAGGCTCCTGGGCTCTATTCCCAGCTCTGCCACGGGCCTGCTGGGTGACCTTAGGCAAGTCACTGCCCTGCTCTGGGCCTCAGTTTCCCCATCTGCACAGTGGGGATGACGATCATAATAATCGTAATACCTAGCTCATGCCTAGCACTTTTCATCCATGGATCTAAGTCGCTTTACACAGGAGGGCAGGATCACTGTCCCCATTATACAGATGGGGAAACTGAGGCATGGGAGGGGAAGTGACTCGCCAAAGGTCATTCAGCAAAGCAGTGGCAGAGCAGAGCCGGAACTTGAACCCAGGTCTAAGTCTCAGTCCAGTGTCCTATTCACTAGGTCGCACAGCTGGGAAGGGCGAGGTCAGGTGTGTGGAAGTGTGAGATCTGTGGCCAGAAGGAGCTGCAGGGAGACTGCTTGCCCTGTGCCTGTGAGCAGAGGGCTGCTTGTGTTAGGGGACTCTGAACACGCCCAGGGGTGGCTACTACAGCGCCAAGAGAAGCTATAGGGGTACGCTAGGGCCAGATTTCCTCAGGGAAGTTGTAATCACTAGGAAGGGGAATGTAGCCCCTTCCGTCCCACCTGATTTCAGTGGGGCTGGCTGGCTCAGTGACCATGGGGCCTTCCCCTTCTGAGGCTTGAAATGAGTCTTAACTACCCACGTCCCCACTCCACCCCCAGCTTTGAGGTGATTGGCTGAAAGCTGGGACTGGAGTAATGGTGGGGGGCTTCAGTGGGGTGTGTGGAGATCTCAGCCTGCCAGCCAAGGGCATTCCCGTATCCCTCCCACGAAGAGGGGTGGTGCCCAGAACGCAGGCGCCTCTGGGAGCAACATGCCCGTATTGCTGCACGCAGGACGGTCGGATGGGCCGTGAGCGAGCCGTCCTGCTGCAGAAAATGTGGCTCCTCGGCACACGGTACAGACAGGATCCAGCCTCGGCTGGTAAGGGGTGGCAGCACTGTGAACCAGCGTGGGGCCTTCAGCCAAGGAAGGGTGGAGAGGGCTCCCTTTGAAGCCACGGTCTAGAGGGGTCAGGTGAGAGCAATGCAAGGCGCTCCCCTGTCCCTGGGCTGTGCACCCTGCCCCTGCTTTCCCAGCCACTCTGTCCTCTCCAGGTCCATGCCCTACACCCGTCACTGTGGTATCTGAGCCCCAGCGAAGCTGTGTGCACACTTCCAGGCTCCCGCGTTTGCTGGACTGCCCCCTTCTCTGCGCACGCCCAGGCAGCAGCTCTATCCGCCGGCCTTTGGCAAGCGCTTCCGTTTCTGGTTTCATCCCAGCTCCCTCCTCTTTGCATTTGCAGGTTTGCAGGAGCCCGGTTTGGTGCTGCAGCGCGACCACATCAAGCAGCAGGCCCTGCTCCGGGTCAGTGGGGCCGGGGACTTGGGGGGCACAGTAGGGGGCAGCGCTGAGGTGTAAAGCACACGCAGCAGCATGTCAGTACTGCAGGAGCTGTGGGGCTTTTCCCTTGCCGATTCCAGTGCCTTAGTTCAAAATGTGTCAGATCCCTGCCCGGGATAGTGACTGGGGCGCTGGGGCGGGCAGAGGCCCCAGGCACTAAGGGGCGGTAGAGATGACAGGCCACAAGGACGTCAGGGTTTAACACTCCCCTCCCATCCCAAGCGGAATGTGGTTGGGGCTGGAGATTTGGAGCAGCCTTGGAGGAAGGGGGCCTGGCCACTGGTTCGCATCTCTGTCCTGCCCTATGGGAGCACCTGGGATGAGCGAGGGGGTGTCTGAGGATGCGGTGGAATCCGGCCATGGGGCAGCGCGCAGCCTGTGCTCACACCCGCTCCCTCGTTTCGGCGGCGCAGGCTCGTCAGATCACCAGGCAGGCGACGGCTCTGCAGCAGCAGCAGGCGGATGGCACAGTCTCCCCCAACGCCTCCCAGGCCACCAGCCCCAGACCTGCCGACCGAGCCCCCAGCACAGTCCAGAGCGCGCCCGGCATGGCACTGCTGCTGCAGGTGGGTCTGTCTCATCTGCCCCTGCTGGGGGGGATGGGAACACACCCAGCCTGCGTTCAGAGCAAGAAGTTAACCATATGGCCCTAAAATCCCTTTTCTCCGCTGTGAGTGTCAAGACGAGCAGGCAAGGGATTGACTTCTAGGACGTTACATCTGGCTGCCGGCCCTTTTATAGCCTTTCCCTGAGGGCTAATGAGCCCAACCCAGCCCCGGTGAGGAGTAGAACAGGGCTGGACAGGACCCTGCGTCTCTTGGCAGATCACGTGTCCCCCCTGGGGGCGGCTGAGCCCTGAGAAGGTGTGAGGCTGCCCTCCAGGGAGGCCGAGTGCTGCCGGACACCGGATGGCAGGCTCCCAGGCAGGGTCATCGTTTCTCCCATCTCATTCTTCTCTCATAGGCTGGCATGGCCCCAGCCCTCTTTTATGGACCCTCCCTGGAGCTGTGTGTCCTGGGGGTGAGGAGAGAAATAGAAACCCCAGGGAGTGGGGGAGATGGACTCCCCACGGAGTGACTGCTGGCCCCAGTGCGGTGCTAGGAGTAGCCTTTTCTTGGTATTGAAAGTGAATTTAGGGCTGGCGTATTACACCACTGTGGGTTCGGCTCCGGTGGCGGCAGGCTCAACAGAGTTACCTCTGCCACTAGTCTCAGATCTAGAGCTGCTAGGAACACGTGAAAACCAAGGAAAGAAACACGGATATTCACAAGAACAATGTCTAATATCTTTTATCAATTGTATTAACGCTACCAACAGCATTATGAGTATCCAAGGCTAGATACATCCTACATCTGTCCAGGCACAAATTATAGCTACAGTTGTACACACCTCCTCCTAGAGAGTGTTAGAGTCTGACAGGGCTCTCCTGGATTATCAGGAGAGGGAAGGCTTCTGCTGGAGTTTTCCCATAGGAAGCTCAATTTTCCCACTCTGGGCACCCTCTTTTATCATGCGATTCTGTCTGTACCTCATCCTCTGCGCCTGTGCGTGAAAGTATCAACCCTCTTTTTCCTTATTTGTATTGTGTCTCCCCAGAATATGGGGGTACCCTGTTTCCCATAGGTTGTGTGTAGTTCCTTTTATTCTCATTAGCATGGAC